GCATTAGCTAAACAAGCAGCATGGTCTGAGAGGTAAACTTGCAAGATAATAGAGAAGTTCACAGTGTATATTGAGGGCTTTCTTGGCAATTAACTGTGAACCGAAGTTGGCAAGTGGGGAACATGCATGTGTTGTAGTCTTGCACTCTACAAGACACTGGATTTATAACGCGAACACACCACTTCATTTCAATTGATACCATTTCTTGGCATGTCTTCAAAGAAGCATGGTTTCTGATGCACAAGTATTGACAAAATTCAAGGCACACTCAGTGGCATAGATACAGCGGCGGCCTCGCTGCAGCATGGCCGTGACAGCGACGGCCAGCAGACTGGGGCCGGCTGCGGGCACAGTACGAGATGAGTTGTGACGACTGGTGGAAGCGCAGAGGAAGAAGACGACTAGAGCGAAGATCCACGAAGGATGACTCGAGGAGTCGTGTGGCGCCGTCTTGGGCGGAGGCAGCGGAGAGTCTTGTGGAAGACTCGAGCGGAAGTTGGTAAATTGGAAAGTGAGATTGAAATGGTTAGTTGTTTGCCGGCTACGAGGTACCTAGTTACCCTATGTAATTATATGCATTTCACTATACTAGATTCTCCGTAGTCCTTGAAGTTGAATCTTGAAGGTAGTCGAGGACCGCGGTTCACCTGAACCGGTCCGAGGTCTTACTTGAACCGTGTATAGTAATTTCAAATGAAAACGAATGAAGGACTTGGTCTTGCACTCTTTAGCTATGCTCTTCCAAACATAGCGATTACCTTTGACTAGGCATATGCCTGTCAGGCAGCTTAGAGGTAGATAATACATAGAGTAGCACTAGACGCCTCAGCGCCCTGGCCAAGGGCCGTGACGCTGGTGCGTCGTTACATCCTCCCGGACTTGACTTTTCGTTGGCGGTTCTTGAAATCGTTAACGAGAACCTTCCAGTGCGACACATGCTTGATGTCTTTCTCTCGCTCCCACGTGGCCTCGTGGTCAGGTAGACCGTGTCACTTGACGAGCCACTCTGGCTTGCGGTTGAACTGACGCTTGCGAAGCAGTTTCTCGATGATATGCAGTGTGTCACCAGTGTCGTCATCGACAATCAGGCGAGAAGCCTTGGGAATAGGACGAGTTCTAAAACGAGACGGGTTTTCGACGTATGGACTCAGAATATCCACGTTGAACGTAGGATTCAGCCGTTTCATGCTTCGCGGAAGTTGCAACTTAGCAACGTTGGGGTTAACCATCTTGATGATCTCGAATGGTCCCACCTTGCGAGCAGCGAGTTTAGCGCGTTTTCTTTCAATGTCCTGGGTTAACATGTCCCGACGGAATACGACGTGTATCCAGCATGACCAAGTCTCCAGCCTTGAACGTGATCGACGATCTCTTCTTGTCGTAGTACTTCTTCTGACGTTCTTGGGCTTGCAACAAATGTTTCTTGGCAACTTCACTGATCTCTTGGCGTTTTTCCTTGAACTGTTTCGCGTATTCAGCAATGCCATTTTGCACTTGGTTCATGATGCTTGGGTTGTCGAACGGATTCAACGGATTGCGTTCTTTGCGACCCGTATCAACTTCGAATGGCGACAAACCGGTGGATGCACTGACGAGAGTAGCGTGAGCATACTTGATCGTTCCAAGGTGGTCAGCCCAATCACGTCCATGGTACGATACCATGCAGCGTAGATCGTCTTCCAGAATCAAATTCTGACGTTCAGTCTGTCCATCAGCTTGAGCACGATAAGAGGTTGTCATGTGAAGACGAATTCCCAACAGCTTAGCCATAGACGATCAGAACTTGAAGACGAACTTGGGATATCGGTCGCTGATGATGATCGACGGTAAACCGTGATGGCAAACGACACAATCGAAGAAGTTGAACGCGGTGTCTTGTGCATCATCGGTGCGGTTGCACGCACGATTCTTCGGACGCTTGGACAGCTTATCGACAACAGTCATGATTGCATCAAAACCGTTTGAATCGGGTAATCCCGTGGCAAAGTCCATGGAAACGACAGACCAGCATTCATGCGGAATCGGAATGGGGATCATCTTGCCATTCTTGCGAGCGTTACTGTGCTTCCAGCGTGTACAGGTTTCACAGCTTTGCACATACTCACGAACATCTTGGTCCAGAGTTGGCCAAGGATACATTTGCGAAATGCGTAGGTACGTTCGGTGAGCTCCAGGCAATGTTCGAATCATGAAAGCATTCGATGATGGAAGTCCGAAGGTGGTTGTCCCGAGTGTAGGGAACACACACGCACATCATGGTGTGCGACTTGTGGAAACGTAGACCATCTTTCTTCACAAATGGCTCTTCTGGATGCTTGAAACGTTCAGCATAGTCTGGGCAAGTGCGATATCCATCTTGGAATTCCTTACGAACAGAGTCAGACCAACCGAGCGAACTCGAATTTTGAGACTGCTGCGTCACATTGGTGGGTACAGCGTCCTCAATGGCGGCGATCGTACGCTGGGTGTCCAGCGATACGTGGTCATAGGTCTGAGACAGGTTTCGAATCGTGTACTGGCCAGCAGCAATAGCCTCCTCCCGACGAAATTGAGGTCGTTCGGGTGGCTGAGCCAAGTTTTGGTTGACACTGCGGAAATCGGCAACAACACGGCGAGATTCGAGCGCCTGAGCTGCGCGCACTTGGCAACGTGTAGTACACTGATGAAACGACCCATTGTTCATCGAAACGTCCTGCGGTTGACGCGACAATGCATCCGCAACCACATTCAAGTGACCCTTGACGTGGTGCAGCTTGAACGTGAATTGCGCGAAGAACGTTAGAAAGCGAGCCAACTTGGGCGAAACTCTCGGGTGGTGTAAGAACCACTTCCACGCGCTGTTGTCCGTGAAAATATCAAATTCACGACCATACAGGTAATGACGTCACTTCTCCAACGCTGGCTTGATTGCGAGGAGTTCCTTTTCATGCGTCGGCCAGTTGATCTCATGCGGACCCGTTTCTTCAAGAAGAAGGCAAGCGGGTGATCTTTCCCTGCCTGAACCTGAGCGAGCTCGTCACCAACACAACAGCCAGAGGCATTGGTTGTCACAATAAAGCGCTTCTCATGGTCAGGCAACTTCAACACAGGTGCTTTTTGCAAAGACGACTTGATCTCCTCAAATGCACGAGTCTGTTCCGGACCCCACGTCCAGACATGTTCTTTCTTGATCAATGGGCCAAGTGGCAACGCGAGTGTAGCGTAGTCGCGGATGAAGCGACGATAGTATCCGGCGAGTCCCAAGAAGCTCTGCCGTTGCTTCTGGTTGACTGGTGTAGGCCATTTGGCGATAGCTTCAGTCTTGCGAGTGTCAACGGCAAGTCCTTTGGCCGAAATAGTATGACCAAGGAACTTCACTTCGGATTGGCCAAAATGACACTTCGTCAGATGACAGTACAACTTCTCACGGCGCAGAATGTCGAAATGCGTACGCAAATGCTCAACATGCTCCTCCAGACTCTTGGAGAAGCACTAATATCGTCCAAGTAGACAACGATGAAGTCATACTTAGCGAAGAGCACTCTCATGAGGCGAGACCAAACACCGGGCATGCCGGCTAGACCCATAGGTGCAACACACCACTGATAGGTCTCGGAATGCGTTCTGAAGGCGGTGTACTTGCGGCTAGCAAGAGCGATACGCATCTGGTGATATCCTTGAGCCAAATCGAGAACGGAGAAAATCACACAACCATGCATCTGATCGAATAACTCGTCTATGCGTGGAAGTCGAATCTTCGGAACAATCGACTGCGAGTTCACGTAGCGATAGTCGATGACCCAACGAATAGGCAAAGTTGAGTTTCCAGAGAGCAACCACTCAGCTCGAGACAAATGATCTCCTGTAGCTGGATCTTTCTTGGGAATCCCAAAGATATTGAAGACCCAAGGGGAATCCGAAACCTCGATCCAACCTTTCTTGAGCTTTTCAGCCACAAACAGATCGAGAGGATCTTGCTCCACCTTGGAAAGGCGAAAAGGTGCACGGTTGCTAGGGACAGCATCAGGTTTCATGTGGAGTTCGTAATCCACACGGCGAGATGGCGGAAGTCCATCAGGCAGAGAGTCGGGAAAGACGTCAGGATACACCGTGACCAAAACACGAATCGGTTCTGGCATGTCCGTATTCTCTGTCACAGCACAGATCTTGACGCGATACACTTCCCGGTATTCATGCTTCTTGACCTTGCGCTTGAAGTCCTCGGCCGAAATCTCCACGGGAGTTACACTCTTGACCTGCGGAGGTGGTACTTCTGGCAAGCGTGGGAACTGAATCTCGCGTGAGCGCCAATCAATCGTCGGTTGAAACTTGGTAAACCAAGGTTTTCCCAGAATTACATCTTGTGCAGAACCGAGCGGCCACTCCATGAACTTGAGTTTCTTGAAGCGGAACCGACCAAACTGGATTGTGGCGACACCTTTCTTTACGGAACGAGCCTTTGTCGAAGTTCCATCGAAGCGAGTTACTTGCGAGACACCCAGAGACTTTGGTGTTCTCAACAAGACCAGGGCGAATGACGTTGCACGTTGCACCACTGCCGAACATGATGACGACAGGTTTTCCATCACAAGTACCTTGCTTACGGATTAGCTCGTTTTCGCGATGCACAGGTGACAAGGTGGACGTGGAGATCTCCTCCACTTCGCCAATCTCAACCTCGTCATCGGACTGTGCGGACGAAGCGTGAGCAGCAGCAGGAGCAGCGGTAGAAGCAGCGCTGCAGTTAGCGGCGGACTGTTCATGTCTGTTTTGCTTAGCATACTTCTCCTTGTTCTTGAGCTTAAAAAATTGCTCAATCACATGACCAGGTTTCTTACAGTAGCGGCATCTCTTCGAAGAAGAAGACGGACGGCGGTTCCTGGTACTCCCGGAGTCAATCTCCATTGGCTCGGGTTCATTCTCCTGCGCACGAGCGGGTGCGGGCTGCTGATGATGCTGGTTACCGTTCGAATGTGAGCGGGACCGGTCCTGGGGAACGAACGACGGACGAAGTTCCCTCCACGAATGTGATGGGATCGATCATACTCCAAAGCAATCTTCATGGCTTGCGAAACGGTAGTACAGCGACGGTATTGCACTTCTTCGGGCGTGGGGCTCACTAATCCACGGGTAAAGTAAGTGATCTTGTCCAACTCACTCATGTCCGTGACTTGCATGATAGCCTCACGGAAACGAGAGATGTACGCCTCCAAATTCGGACAATTCTTCTGCTTGAGTGCGTAGAGTTGATCACCCAAACGCTCTTGCAAATCTGGAGGCACGAACTCGTCTGTCAACTTGGCGATCAGGTCGTGCATGTCCTTGATCTCACGCTTGTTCAGCTTGTACCAAGCGGTAGCATTTCCCTTCAAGTTCGCAGTAGTGATGACCAAAATTCGAGAACTCTGTTTCTCACTCTGCCAATCAATTTTCTTAGCTTCAAATTACTGAGCAAGTTGCTCAAAGTACAAATCCACTGACTCTCCCATCTTACCGTAAAACTGTGGCAGGCGGATGCCCTCCACTTTAACCTCCAGCTTATTCATGGCCTCGAGCAGCTGCGGCTGCTTGTCAACCATTTCAATAAGTTTCTGCGTGATGGTGTCGGCAGACCATTGTGGCATAGTGGGCTCCCGTTTAGACCCGGTACACCTTCGGACTTTACCCGGGAGACCACGGTGTGGTCCCGGCACTAAATTGAGCACCTACGGTACCGTTCCCGGAACCTGCATCCAACTGCCCCAGACCCGCGGGCCCGGGCCCGGGTTCCCCCCGGGGACCCGAGTATACTCAAGACCAAGAAGAAGTTCCCGAAAGCCGGAGCATGGCGACAGCACGACCCTGGTATAGTGAAACCCAGTATGTAGCAGATCCCGAGATACCCGTATGCTTAAGCACGCCCGGCGGCCACCTGCCGGGCGGAGCAATAATTCAGTCTATCTTTTCCCCTCAAGTGCGCAAGCCGGTCTCGACCAAGGACAACAAGGACAAAGGCCGCGGCCTCTGGGAACCGCGCTCGTAGACTCACCCCAGGTAAACTCTCTATCACATTTACCAGGGTTTCCCCCGGGACCCCAGGCATTCCATATCTGTTCCCCCGGAGTGCGGTCTGGCCGGCACGGGTAAGAACACTTCATATTTCTCGTGTCTCGCCCGTGTGGTCTCGCCCCGAAAACTACTTGCGGCCGTCGCCGAGGGAGTCTTGCTCCGAAAGACCCAGTGTATATTTAGTTGCGTATCCATCCCGCCCCGGGAACCAGGTAGCGTCCCCGGGCGATTGTTTGTATAGCTACCACCCCAGCGTACTCATAAGGTCGGGACTCCCAGGAGATCCTCAGTGGTTGACCTTCCCTCTGATCTAAACAACCGATTCGAAGGGGGTACACAAGGTGAGCTTACTGACCGAGTCCCAGGACCCCTTGCTTTCCCATAGCGAGTAAAGGTCCCGGGAACTCACGGCCCCTGATAAATCCCTCGTCCGGGCGGGCCGTCTATCTACTAGGAGATTCGCTCTCTCTAGTTCCCTAGATTCTCTGTCTGGGAACGCAACCCGGGAACTGGCGGAGTGTCGAGGGCGAAAGCTCAAGGCGCTACATCACAACTGGTGCGCGTGCCCGGATCAGGGGGTTGCTTAACCACTTGTCACATCTCTCACTATGTCTACAGAACCTACAGATACGCCATCGCCCCGGGGAATCCGGGGCACCGCCTTTCGCGGCAGTGCGAGAGGCCGAGCTGGACGCGGAGGACGCCCGCGCCTTGAAGCTCCTGAATCACGCCGCTTGGCTCTTCCTGCCCCGACCGAAGAACCTCCAGCCCCGTCGAGCTTGACGATGCATCCAAGCTCCGGAAGTGCTGTCGACGCCGGATCGCGGATGGACGACGACCGAGCCGCGCTGAATGCCGCGGGACGAAGCGCGCTGGCGATTTCCGGCCCACGGACTGCGGCCCCGCCTGCTCCCTCCGGGGATGCGGGCACAAGACCGGTGGGGACGCCCACCACCCCAGCGGCGGGGCAACTCGCAGCGTTTGCGGCGGAGCCATCCGCCGCCTTGTCTGCTTCCTCCGGGAATGCAGACACCAACCCGGTGAGGACACTCACCACCCACGCTAGCGCGCAAGCGCCGGCAAGCCCAGCTGTCGCACCCGATGCACGAGCTCTGGTGCCTTGGGAACACCCTGGAGATCAAGCCTCGGGGACAACACAGCAGACGTATGAGCTTCATCCCGGAGTCACGGCGGCCTTGGACGCTGAACGCGGAGCTCTGCACGATGGAGCCCTCGTGGCGCAGACTCAGCTCTCCCGACTACAGCAACGCGAGTACACCGAAGCCCAAGTCGCGCGATGGAGGTCCCGAGGCGCTGGAGCGATGTCACCTTCGGACCCGTACTACCCGGAGCGACGTCACTGGCCGATGCGGAACTGGCTGATGAAAGCAAAGGAGACAATCGGGTACCTCCGCGAGGTCAACGTGTCCGGGGCACTTGAGCGACCTTGGGTTGCGAGCTTCCGGGGCGAATGCCTCTGTCTGCCCGTCGTCTCCAACCACCAAGCGCGGCTGATCGACTTCAACGTCCTCTGGCTCGAAGATGGCTCCCGGGACTACGTCTCGGTGATCGTCATGTTGCAGACCATGCTCTCCGACGCCGGGTTCGCCTTCGTGAATTTGGTGCCCTCATGGGGACAGACGCTGCATCCAGAGTTCTTCAGGCCTCGGGACACGAGGTTCATCTCGGACGCACTGTTTCTCCGACGGCTTCTGGTGAGCGAGCAAGATGCCTGGGACCAGATCGCCCGGGGGCGCAAGTTCAGTGTCCGACGGGAAGACGTTCCGTTCCAAGCCCTGGACCCCGAAGCTGCAACCGCATTTCCGGTCGAAGATGGTGGCGACGCGCTGATGCTGACGTCCGAAGAGCAAGAGCTACTGGAGATGGCTGTTGTGACCAGGCTTCGCTTGGCTCAGATCCGCCCTCGGGAGTAGTCCGAGACAGACAGCAGCCGTCCCGAGCCCAAGCGCCGTCGTGGCAGTGCGGACACCCTGATGTCGATCCCGTCGTGGCCTGGTTCCGACGAGGGCGCTCGAGTTTGGGGAGGTCCTCTACCTCAGGTGGTCGGCTCCTCAAGCGTGGCGTCTGGAGATGCTCCCATGCTGACTCCAGACGAGAACATGTCGTCCGCGGGCGGTGGCTCCCAGGGCTCCCCGGGCTTCGGCCCCGCAGGGGCCACAGCCAATGTCTTAGTGGCAACGGCGGGCACTGGTGGTGAAGCTGCGCCGACGATGGAGCAGCCTACGGTGTACGTCCCGGTCGCCGCATACCCTCCGGACTTCGCGCAAGCGCCGTCGCCAGGGGCGAACACCCCGCTGCCCGCTAGGTTTCACGATCCCGAGCTGGACGAGGAGCTGAAGTCAGAGGACCATGGAGCGGCAGCACATCCGATGGCACGACAAGTCGACGTGACCGACGAGGAGACGATGGCTCATCACGCCCTGCGCGAAGCGCAACGTCAACATCGAGCTTCAAGCAGCCATGGCAGCTCGAGATGAGCAGGAGCGTGCTCGGCTCCGAAGCCTCGGGGAAGTGATGAAGACCCGGATCCCGGAGCGTGACATGAACCGTTCCGAGCGCAAGCAGCAGAAGTCGACGCAGCGCAAGCACGCGATTGAGGAATCCAGGCGTAAGGCTGCTGCCGACACTGAGGTCGCCACTCTTCAGATGCGACTCCATCAGCTCAAGGAACAGCAGGCCCCGGAACGGGACGACCTCCAGCACCAGTTCGAGAAGGCAGTTGCGCAGCAGCGCGTGGCAGCTTTCCAGGAGGCGCAAGCCATTTCCAGGGATGCCGAGCGCATGCGCGACGAAGCAATCGCTGGAGCTGAGGCCGCTGCGGACCGTGTCAAGCAAGAAGAGGAGCGCGCTCAGAAGGAACGTCATCATCGTGCCCAAGAGGAACAAGCTCGGAGAGCGCTGGATCAGGAGCGCTTTGACGCACAGCAAGAAGAGATCCGGATACTTCGGGAGCAGATCGCGGCAGCCAACCATCCACGAGGGCGCAGCCCATCCCCATGAATCCAGGGGATCGAGGTCTCGTCGCCAAAGGCGTAGCCGCAACCGGAGCAATCAATCAGCGGTCGGTGCGGCAGAGAGCGGTCCCCGGCGTGGAGCCGGTCCGGTCTCCGGAAGATCGGTCGGGATGGGACCTCCAGTCCCTTCGGCCTTTCCCTCGCGACAAGTCGACCCGGTTGGCACATCTGGAAATCCCACTGCTGCACCACGAGTCGAGATGACGGCATCGCAAGCATCGACCTCCGAGGTCGGGGCGAGACCACCGACGACCGGCGCGAGCGAAACTCAACCTACAGTCGGTAGACCTGCGTTCAGCTTCGGGCCGTCCAGCTCGTACGCCCAGGGAACTTCAGCGTTCGGATCGTATCCAGCCCCAGGACACCAAGTGCCGACAGGGGCGAGTGGCCCTGCTGTTGTCTCTTCGGCCGCCCCACCCTGGCAACGTGCATCGGTGGCGCCGCCCGGGGTCGGCCAGTACCCGTGGTCATCAAGCAACCAAGCCTCGTTCCCAGCGGTCACTAACCACGGTGACACCACTACGTGGAACAGCAGTTTCGCGAGCATCGACGCTCAGCCAACATCCCAAGGTGAGACGTTCTCGTGGGGCCCTGGGGGTCCGGCCACCAGCGGTTTCAGTGGAGCGTTCCCAGGACCAAACCAGGTTCCGGGGTACGGCATGATGAGCTTCAGGCCCTTCATCGCCTACGACGCAGTCGATCCCTTCGATCCCTCCCTCCCGCTGGACAAACGTCGTCTGTGGTGGACAAGTTCCAGTACACCGCTCTTATGGGGGGATGGCGCGAACAGGAGCGCTGCACTCGACTTTACAGCCGATTGAGCCACAACGAAGGAACCAAGGTCTGGGTCCAGCAGCTCCCAGCAACGCTTCGACACAGTTGGACCGCGCTCTCGGACAAGTTCGCCAAATAATTTTGCCGATCCACAGAGTCTCCAGTCGAACGGTACCTGCGACTGAAGCAAGACTCCCGCGAGACTCCGAGAACCTTTTTGTGGAGGCTGAACGCAGCCGCTGTCAAAGCAAACGTGGACTATCAGTCTCCTTCGGGATGTCGGCGTCACTTGAATCAGTTCCTGAAGCATTTACGGGACCGTGAACTCCAGGTAAGCCTCCAGGGGCGTTTGTACTCGACGGTCGACGGGTTGGAGGAGACTCTGCGTCAAGTGGAAGAGATGGAGCGTGGACTGCGCCGCCGACCCGCGAATGATGTGCAGTTTGGCCGGCATAAGCCGTCAGCGGTCAGCTCCGGGGTGGCCGCCCGCGGGACTTCTGGGGCCAAAGCTCCTGCTGCATACCTGTCAGTTGCGCCCCAGACCGATGACACGGCTCCGACCCGGCCGCTCCAGTGGGATGACGACGTCGACAGCGACTACGGCTATCAGTACGATGACGAGGATGACGATGACGAGGTGCACTCGCTGAAGCAAGAAGACGTCTACCGGGCGGAAAGCCCTTGGGGAACCAATCCTCGGGGCGACCGTCCCCGGGACCGTTCCCGGGGCCCTGACCCTAGGTCCCGAGGTACTTCGGGAGCGTCGTCGCTCCAGTCGCCATGCGCCGAATGTGGACGTCCGGGACATGTCCGCGACGACTGTTGGAGGCTGATGAAGTGTGATCGATGCGCAGGGAAGCACCCGACCAACCTATGCCGCCGCCGTAAGTGCGAGGCGTGTGGTCAACTGCACCCTGCGGGCCAGTGGGAGGTTCTAGCGACCCTCAAGCGCTTGGCCCAAGGGGGGAAGTTGCAGGGTGTGCCCGATGACGTGCTGCAGAGTCTACGCCAGGACGTTGCACCGGCGTTAAACAACTAGGCTCGCTGGGTACGCGACGAGCCTATGTCCCGTACAAGCTACTGCGCTTATGCGTATGTTAGCCATAACGATCCACAATGTATGTCCATTGTATCTACATCACCTCCCAAGACCGCCTCCGTCTATACGAGTCATGTGGCCCCAGAAGAAGATGAACTTTCGTACGAACTTCAACCGGGACAACGGCGCGGATGGTGGGAGGAAAATTCCTGGGACGACAGCACTAGCTCTGTGGCGCTGGTCCGGGGATCCATCTTCCACTACCGTACCTTGCTCATGCTCGACCCCGGAGCATCCACCAGTATTCTCAGCCTAGACCTTGCGCGTAGATTGAAGCTGAAGGTGGAGCCCCGGGGTGAGTTATGGCTCAACGGTATCGATGGAGTCAAGACTAAGGTATCCAACAAGTGTCGTGTGAAGGTGACCCTGGGTCGCCGCGTCGTGTACACTCTCGACATCTGGGTTGGCAATATCGGCCAAGGGATCGACTGTCTTCTTGGGATGAACGTCATGGTGGCTGCAGGTGTTCGGCTGTGCGCCAACGAAGGAGAGGTCCTCCTCCCAGATGAAGAGCGTGTACTTCTCGTCGGCGGTCCACACCATGAACGTATGGGAACTGCCATCAGTGTGGCTGCCCACGAGGGTATGTGGTTAGCCCCCGGTGGGAGTCACTATCTGCCTATCTCCCTGGAGAACCATGATCCCGGGGAACTGGATGTGTGGGCAAGCCGCGGAGACCACTGGGTGGCGCTGATCATCTCCAGTACTCGCCAAATCCCTGTGGGTGTCCGCGTCGTGAACATCTCCAGAAAGCTGATCAACATCCTGCCTCACACGCGAGTAGCGACCCTGACGCAGATTGGTCGATTGCCCTTCGGGACGAATTTCGTTCGCCCGGGGTCGTTGCAGTACGAGGAACGGGAATTCTTGGTTTACGAGAACACTCGGTCCCGGGCGGCGGAGCGTCGCCTAGCACGTGAGGTACAGGAACACGAACGCAATGCCCCACCTGCAGTCGAGCGCCGCTCGTATCCAACTCCCAAGGCCATTCTGAAGCGCCCGAAGAAGGAAGAGGCCAAGTCAGAAGCGGTGGTGACGGCGGCGTCCAGGGCCCCCTCCGAATCCGTGGCTGTACCTGAGTCCCCCGGCGAGGAGGAACTCCCAGGCCCTGGTGCGTCGATTGCTTCTCAAGCTCTACCGAGGGCTCCATCTGGAGACGGTCCTGCCGGCAACTGTGGTATCGCTGATGACTGCGAGCTCCCAGAAGAGTCAGGGGGGGCGTCGACACCCAAATTAGCTGTGGAACAAGAGTTGTCCCGGGTCTTCCCGGACACGGCCCCGGTTCCCCAGTTCCCTATGTTGGATCGGGCCTTCGTCATGCTCGTGACGGCTGGGAAACAAGTGGACGCAGACCCCGCTGTCTATTACCACCATGGGCAGGACTTCGTCCTCTTGGACATGCTCAAAAATCAGCTGGCCTACCTTCCAGACCTGAGTGACCTGCGGCCCGAAGCCAAAGTCGACGATGCCGTTGTCGGGGACCCCGGGGTGACCAGCCCCGAGGCGGAACGACACCTCCGGGGTATTCTGCAGCGCCACAAGGTGATTTTCCTAGGAGAAGGGAATGCACTCCCGCGTTTGGCCCGGGGGGTCGTCTGTGATCTCGACGTCGGCGACGCCAAGCCAATCGCTCAGCGGGCGCCGGATACGGTGTTTCACCAGAACCGCATTGCCCCGGAGCAAATGGGACCCGTCCTGTTCCGGAGTTCTTACATCGATGACATTATCTACGGAGCTTCGTCCTGGGACGACCTGTGCAAAACCCTGGACGCTTTGTTGTACCGGTTGCGTTACTGGAACATTTCGGTAAGCCTCCCGAAGAGCGAGTTCGGTGTGAAGAAAGGCAAGTACCTGGGACATGACATCAGCTCCGATGGCATCAGAACGTCGCCCAAGCTGGCTCAAAAGGTCCTAGACCTGCCGTTCCCGGGGACCCTTAAGGGGGTTCAATCCTTCCTGGGGAGCCTCAACTACTACAGCAAGTTCATCGAGGATCTGCTGGTGATTGCAGCCGTGTTGTACGAATTGTCTGACGAGCAGCTCCGCGCAGGGAGGGATCTGGAGAAGGCAAAGCACGCGTTCAAGTTGCTGAAGGAGCGCCTGGTATCTACGCCACTGTTACACCATCTGGACCCGGTGAGGCAGTACGTGATCATCCTGCATGCGAACAAGTGGGCGATCAGTGCGGTCCTGGGGCAAGACTATGACGGAGTGATCCGACCTGTGCGTTTTGTGGGGCGAGTCCTCCAGGATGCGGAACTGAGGTACCACCCTGCGGAAAAGGAGGCCCTTGCCCTGCTCCGGGTACTGAACACCTGCCACACGATGGTCCCTGCGTGCAAGGTGAAGACCATTCGAGTGTACACCCGGTACTCTGTCCTGGGGTGGCTCTTCAAGTCGAAGACGGTGGATGGTCGGTGCCTAAAATGGGCAGTCAACCTCTCGCCCTGGGACCTGGACATTCGCCGCGTGGAGAAGGACGAAGACGGACTTGCTGCAATCCTGGGTGCGGGCATCACCCCCAGGGAACAGCTAGACGAGATCGCTGGAGAACTTATCCCTTCCAAGGGCGCCCGGATCAAGACACCGCCGGTCAGCCTCGAGATGCTGTCAAGTGACCACGTAGGTTTCCTCTTGAGTTTTGATGGAGCCGCCAAGCGAGATGGGTCTGGGGGCGCAGCATGCATCCTCTGGGAATTACCGGCTTGGGAAGTCGTAGCAGCCGAGGGTCACCTCCTGGAGAAGGCCACGGTAAATGAAGCCGAGTACGCGGGGATGATCCGAGGAATGCTGCTTGCGAAGTCCCGAGGCGTCTAGAAACTGGTGGTCGTGGGGGACTCCCGGCTGGCTATTTAGCAGCTCCAGGGAGTCATCGGATGCACTCAACCGCATCTCCAAAAGCTGCTTCAAGAGGCAAAAGAGCTCCGAGAACAGTTCAAGTCCCTGCGTCTGGTTCACGTGGAACGCGACTTCAACGCAGCCGCAGATTACATCTCCAAGCGTGCCCCTCCAGGACCAGGCCTCGGTTGAAGTGACAGACCCCGGAGAGCTGAAACTGCTCCAAGGTCTGAACATGATACACGAGAAGCTGATGAAGGAGCCCAAACCTCGGGAGAAGGCGCTGGTAGATGCAGTCTTTGTGGCCACGGCACGAGGCGCTGGAATATCCGACTCCGGGGATTCTGGACAGAGTGTGTATGATACGACCAGATCAGGGGCGCGTCTAGATCATCAGCCTGGGGAACCCCAGGAACCGGACGAGGACATTCTGGAATCGGAAGGTGGAGAAGAGACCGCTGTCGAAGTCCGAGGGCGCCGAAGGTACCCGTTAGAAGTAGACCCCGGTGAGGCAAGAAGGGAGCGTTGGAGACGAATATGTGCGCGGACCCGGACTTGGCCCCGCTGAAGAGCTTTCTCAGAGGCGAGACAGAGAAATTGTCCCTGAAGCAGACGGCTCATCTCGCCAAGATCGCGGACCAGTTCGTGCTGGACAGCCAGGACACCTTGTTCTACGTGAGCAGGAATACCCCAGAGCGACCCCGGAACGAAGCGGTCCGACTAAGACTTGTGGTTCCCCGGGACCTCCAGGAGGGCATCCTGCATCATTGTCCCTCAGACATCCAGGGAGTCCATCAAGGGATCATCCGGACCTATGAACGCCTGCGCCGAGAGTTTTACTGGATTGGAATGTTCAAGGCAACGGAGAGGTCCATCAAGGAGTGCGTCGACTGTGTGATGGCGAAGGGGCTGCCCCGGAACCCGGGGCCGTCCCCGGGAACATATTCGCTACACGGCCGTTCCAAGTCGTGTCCATGGACTTCGTGATCCCGCTGCCCAAAACAACCCGGGGAAATGAAGCTCTGCTCCTGTTCCAGTGCGCTTTCTCGGGATTCATCATGTGCAAGGCAATGAAAGATACCTCGACCCAGGATGTGGCTGAAGCTTACGAGGAGCAGGTGTTTCGTCGTTTCGGCGCAAGCGAGATGATCCGTCACGACCAGGACCCTCGGTTCAGGCTCGCGTGTTCAAGCACTTCCGGGAAATGCTGGGAAGTCGGCAACGTGCGACCCTAGCGTATCGACCCCAGGCCAACGGTCAACAAGAGCGATCTGTGCAAACAGTGATCAGGAGTGTCCGGGCCTATGTGCAGACGGTCGACCAGAGTGACTGGGATGAACTCGCCGAGAAGCTCATGTGGGCTCTGAATACCTCGTACGACTTCACCAGGCTAGATACGCCATTCTACCTCGTCCACGGGTGGGACGCCCAAGGGACCGTCCAAGCAATGATGGGCGACGTCCCCAGGGACCTTCAACTCCGGGACGCTTATGAGTGGCGCCTGAAAGTCCAACGTCGAGTTGAGTACGCCAGAGCATGGGCCCGGGACCTCCAGGCGAAGGCGAAGGCCAAGCGAGCCCGGGAACACAATCGCCGATGGAAGCAGCTCTCGGACCGTCTGAAGGAAGGTTTTGAAGTAGGCGACTCCATGTGGCTCTACCGAGCCCGGGTCCACCCAGGGTTGACCAAGAAGCTGGCCCACCTGTGGCATGGTCCCTTTAGGATTCTGGAGAAGAGCGACGACTTCCGGTACAGGCTCCAAACCGAAGGCACGGACTATAAATTCTACCCCTGGGTGCACGTCAGCAGGTTGAAGCCCCGGGCCCTCTTCCCGGAGAGGCCCTCCGATACCCTGGATATCCCTGAAGACGATGACTTTGACGCTGCTCTGCTCCGCGAAGACAGCTGGGAGCCCGACGAAGCTGCCGGTGAATACGAAGTGGAAGCCATCTTGGACGTACGCTGGGCTACCCGAACTCGTACCAGCAGACGGATCAAGGAATAAAAAATTAAGTGGAAGGGCTACGATGTCCCGGAGTGGATACCCCAGGGGCGCCTGAACTGGGGACGGCTGCTGTACGAGTTTGACCAAGGAGAGCGCGCTCGTGTCCGTTTCCAGGCTATGCAGTCCGGAGACGAGCTCCCGGATGAAGAAGTCCGATAGAGCCCCGGGGCGTGGACCCCGAGTCGAGCACGAGTTCCTCGGGTGCGTCCCCCGGAAGCTTCGGGGTCATTGGCTGAGATTACTCGCTAGTGTGCTCAGGAAGCTTGCATGTTATATTTTTCGATTTGAACCCAAAACTCCCGGGCAGAAATGTCCGGTAGAGCAACCCCAGGAGCGGAGCCAAGTTGGACTAAGGTGCGACCCCCTGGGATGCCCGGGGACCCAGCTGAGATCACTCGCTGAGGAGACCCCGGAAGTACATGTATACGAAAAGGAAATTGAACAAGGCCAAAGAAGAAGATCAAGATTACCGAAGGTAAATGGCGTCGCTGAGGGACTACTTCCCTACGTGGAACATCACGAAACAGGAGGCATGGCAGGAGGCACCGGTATCACGCGAGACGCACGCTCGTTAGCGTTATCAACCCTGGCACTCCACACCTCTACGTCAACACTCTCCGCAATCCGGGCGCTTGAATCAGGGACGGACCAGTAGGCGCGAGCCGGCTCACGCGAATCCAGGAGCTCGAGCTGTTCCGCGAGCGGGTAGTCAGCGGACTTGTCCATCAAAATCCAGGTACAGATCAAGTGTGGACGACGCCAGAGCCCGGGCTCCTGCTCGAAGAGCACACGCTCGACCTCGGGGAGTTTCTCGATTTGCGCACGAAGGGTCTTCCAGGCCCCGGCCCACGCATGTTGTCGGCGACGGCGATCCGCGTACAACTGCGATACGGCAGGATCGCTGCGATCGTTCTCCACCCAGTGCGTACGCTCCCAGAATGCTCGACGCCACTCGCGCATGTGTGCGACGTACTCAATGACAAGGCTCCGAAGTCCCGAGCTCATCGCCGAATACTGCTTGAAGAAACAGAAGACTGTGATTCGACGCTGGAACATGATGTCCCAAGGCAGCAAGGGCTGCGTGCTCGTCACTGTCAATAGGCCGATGTAGTCGCCGGTGAGAAGTCGCTTCTGGACTAGGTGAAGGCTTCCTCGGAGGCACTGGTAATCCGCGAACCCCAGCGACTGTAGCCCGCCGTGGCGAACTTTCGCCCGCGTCACGCGCACGCCATACACGATCCACGACGGTGCTCCTGGTTCCGGCGGTTCGACGTCACGGGAGCCTAGAGCTTGTTCTCGAGCCCGAGCCAGTTGCCCCTCTTGGTTTCCTTGTGCGGGACGAGTTTCCCGTCGATGTGCGCCTGAGCGCCCCCGTTTGGACGCTGGAGTTGCTGGAACCATATCCTGACCACCAGTCCCGGGGCCGGACGAACCCAGAACTCTCTTCCGTGATCGTGAGGCCCCACCATGTCGTCTTTCATCAGTGACTGAGGCGTCCGACTCTGAATTGGAAGGCGTCGGCGAGTCCAAGCGCTCCGTGGGTATCGCCGACCAGGGGCGACTCGCATCGACCTCCCAGCGAGACGCGTTAGCCAGGACCACTGCGGCCACAAAGTATTTTTCAGGGACATGACGGGTCCACCACACGTCGTCCAGGATCCCGAGGCAGAGCAGTCGACGCAGCACCTCGATCAGTACGTTTTCCCGGAGCATCGTGTGTATCAACATAATATCCGCCCGGACTCCCCGAACGATGTCCTGGGACTGTTGGAGGTCCCTCTGCTCAGGTCCATGCGCATGAACTCCAGCAGATCGAGACGAACATCTTCGAGGGCACACCCGGAAGAGAGCAGGCTTTGGATTTCGGAGTCAGGTCGAGGAGGGTCGGCATCCGAGTCGATAGCGCGGTAACGAGCACTTCGTCGATTGGTTTCAGGGGCGTACCCAACAGGTCTGACCTGGCGAGACCCATCGCTTGACATCCGGGTCCCTGAGGAGTCGAGACCCACGTCGGTGTCCAAGTCCGAGTCATCGGCGATCTCAACAACCTCTATGTCCCTGGAAGCGGCTCCCGAGATCCCGGCACGTGGGCCAGAAGACGTACCGGACTGCCGAGTGCTGTCTACGCTCCCGGACTTGATAGCAATCCCTCGACGAGATGCCCCCAGTGACTCCCGACCGAACCTCGCGACTGACGACGGCTTTGAGGCCCTGGTACCGGCGCCCTGGTAGCCGAGGAAGATCAGCCGAATGATCCCGTGCCCCAGAGGCGCTGGACCCATCGACTCCAAGACCCCGGATGGAGACCAGAATCCCGGGCACGTCATGGCCCTGTCGATCCTCAGTAACGTCATCCCTGGATGGGCCTTGGTCCCGAGGCAAGCGGCCCAGGGCTGGACGTGGCACTTCGTCACCAGGTGCGGGCCGGTCCTGCGCGAGACCACGATCAGGAACGGAAGGAGTCGAGGGAGTCGAGGGCTCCGGGAACGGCGCCCCTGAACCACCACCATCCAGTCGAGTAACCGTCACGGAGAGCTGGCACGGCACCGGCTGACCTCGCTCAAAGGCCCCGACGACATCGCGAAAAGCTTCCCAGTCACCGACTAATCCCCAGGGTCCTTGACCCCGGAGGTAGTGCATGAATGAGATCGCGTCCAACAAGGTGCGTCGGCCCCGGAACTTGCATTTCTCTGCTTCGAGTCGAGTGTTCTCGCGTCGGAGCCGCGCGACATCCTGCTCGAGTTCCCCTGCTCAGCGGCAAGGACGGCCAGATCTCGACGCGCTTTGGAGCTGTCCACCTCAGCCAAGACCAACTGCTCCTGGGCTCGCCGCAGATCGTCATGTTCAGCTTGCAAGATGAGTCTGGTTTTCTCGACGAGTGCGTTATATTCGCCTCGCAGATCGCCCCTGAGTTTGGCAACTCTCGCACGCCACTGAGCGCCCTCCTTTCGCCGGTTTTCCTGGGAACGACGTAGTGCCAGATTCAGGTTCCGGCAAGTCAAGCAATCTTCCGAGACGTCGGCGTCTTGATGACGGCAAACTTCTGTCAGATCTTCGACTCGACCCAACGCGAATTGTCGGGACCGAAGAGTGTTAAGCACTCTGAAGCCGAAGTGATCGGGTCCGAACAAGTCGATGAGCGGTTCGGCTTGGATCTCAGCCGCTCGCCCTCGGGAACCAGGAGCCATGGTGTCACATGCCCCGATCAACCTGCTGGGTACCAGGATGTCACCGGCTGTCTCGTCGCCAGGAGGAAGCAGCTCTGCTAGCGTCTGGAGTTCGTGTGCCGTGAACCCTGGCACCCGTACGGCCAAGTGAGCGATACCCTCTATGTCCCGAATCCGCGCAGCGCCCGATCGATCGGCCACCAGGCCCCGGACATCGACAGCAGTTAGAGGCACGTACGCGATAGGAGGCGTCGACGGAGGCTCTCCACGCTGACACCCAAGCGAGCATGCGCTACCTCTCCGGTGGGGAGTGTCCTACGTGAAGGCGGAAGTCCCAGAAGCGTGCTGAGCGCCGACTTGTCCGCATCGCGCGTAGCGATGTGGATAGCCCCACCCACTGCAGGCGAAGCGAGTCCCCGTGGCGGGGCCAGGAATGCCTGCCAAAGTTGCTGGTCGCTGGAGGACAGTGCGGAGGAACCCGACCCCACCAGGTGCGCTCGCGCAATCTCTCGACCGACGCTCTGTGCCACGGATGGAGAAACACCCGCGTGAAGGACAGGTGCCAATGGCCCCGGGCCCGAGGAGCCGTCCAGGGAGAGAGGGGCGGTGCCCCGCGTGTGGTCGCGATCGACGCCGAAGTGACGCTGGCCAGGGCCCCGCTGGCGGACACCCTTTCACTGGAGCTTGGAGATGATGCTGGATCCGGAGAAGACCCGGAGACACTGGCCACCTGGCGTTCGGGACTCGGAGCAGGAGGCGGCGCGGTAGCCCGACGTGAATCAAGACGCAGCCCACCACCAGACCATAGATCCCCCGAGACTACCGTCGAAGCGCCGTCGACACTAGGAGGCGCACGATGAATGGCTTGATCGCCACTCGGTGAAGGGACGGCGATGCAGGCGGACCCCGGAGACAAGAGCGTCGACGAAGTCCCAGGATCCCGGATCCCGGTCGGCGACGAAGGCGAAGCCCGTGAAGCCGGCACTGGAGCAGCAGTGTCGCTCGAATGCGAAGCCCCACGAGAGTGAGACTAGCGCTTGTCGTACTTAGAGATACGGACGTGGACCGCTCGGCGCAGGACGGAAGCGACGGCACCGCAGCCTCCTGGCTCGACGCTGGCGGACCGTCATCCACAGGAGTCATCGGATACGGAGACGCCGCGCGAGCAGGTGCACTCGGACCCGGCGCCGGTGCTGGCGATATTGCATGAATGGTGTCGTTTGCTGGCGAGCTTGAGCACGGTGTTTGCCCGCGTGACTGCTGTGAAGACTCGGTACTGGAAGCCATGTCGGCCGCGAAGTGGATGTATCAACGGCACGCGGTGAATCTGAAAGTGGCCAGCGGCGCGAGATACCGGCACGTGCAGCAGATCCCGTGCTGCCCTCGCCTGGTAGGGAGTCGCCCACATGATTCTGCCCGGAGACGGTTCGAAGCATCTCAGCGCCAACGGACACAAATGGGGCGATTGTGGCATATTGGGCTCCCGTTTAGACCCGGTACACCTTCGGACTTTACCCGGGAGACCACGGTGTGGTCCCGGCACTAAATTGAGCACCTACGGTACCGTTCACGGAAACTGCATCCAACTGTCCCAGACCCGCGGGCCCGGGACCGGGTTCCCCCGGTGGACCCGAGTATACTCAAGACCAAGAAGAAGTTCCCGAAAGCCGGAGCATGGCGACAGCACGACCCTGGTATAGTGAAACCCAGTATGTAGCAGATCCCGAGATACCCGTATGCTTAAGCACGCCCGGCGGCCACCTGCCGGGCGGAGCAATAATTCAGTCTATCTTTTCCCCTCAAGTGCGCAAGCCGGTCTCGACCAAGGACAACAAGGACAAAGGCCGCGGCCTCTGGGAACCGCGCTCGTAGACTCACCCCAGGTAAACTCTCTATCACATTTACCAGGGTTTCCCCCGGGATCCCAGGCATTCCATGTCTGTTCCCCCGGAGTGCGGTCTGGCCGGCACGGGTAAGAACACTTCATATTTCTCGTGTCTCGCCCGTGTGGTCTCGCCCCGAAAACTACTTGCGGCCGTCGCCGAGGGAGTCTTGCTCCGAAAGACCCAGTGTATATTTAGTTGCGTATCCATCCCGCCCCGGGAACCAGGTAGCGTCCCCGGGCGATTGTTTGTATAGCTACCACCCCAGCGTACTCATAAGGTCGGGACTCCCAGGAGATCCTCAGTGGTTGACCTTCCCTCTGATCTAAACAACCGATTCGAAGGGGGTACACAAGGTGAGCTTACTGACCGAGTCCCAGGACCCCTTGCTTTCCCATAGCGAGTAAAGGTCCCGGGAACTCACGGCCCCTGATAAATCCCTCGTCCGGGCGGGCCGTCTATCTACTAGGAGATTCGCTCTCTCTAGTTCCCTAGATTCTCTGTCTAGGAGCGAAACCCGGGAACTGGCGGAGTGTCGAGGGCGAAAGCTCAAGGCGCTACATCACACCATCCTTGCGGATTAATCGAAGTCATGATGGGAAAAGAAAAAGTTCACTTATTCAACGCGAAGCCTCTTAAAACGGTACTCAGTAGGCTGAAGGTGACGCGCGTGACGTTCCAGGTCAGTCATAGCGTCAAGGATACCAAGGCGGAGGTCCTCTAAGCTGTGGCTCAAAGAGCGAGACTGCGCGGCACCTAGGAGGGGGTCGAAGAAGTAGTCGGTCGCGTCGGCAAGGTCGAAGATGGAGTCACGTATGTGTCGGATGTAGTTGTTTACGCTCTCCTACGTAAGGATTTGCTCGGTTTCGCCGTCCAGAAATTCGAAGGCGTCCTCGAATGTACGCTTGGACATTCACTAGTGGTGACGGCAGCGTTTACTGCCAGTCGAGTACTCCAGGATCTTGCGGTCGAGATACGTACAGAGATGCTCCGACTGGTCGACAAGCGGTACCAGAATCAGTTCCGAGAGACGGTGCAGAAGGTTCCTTGCACGGTGGTCGGCAGCGTCCGGAATCAGGTTTCGGAGCGCCTTCACAAAGCGGAAGTGCCTATCAATACTAAACGCAAATGCACTGCGTAAAGACTTGGCGGTCTCGGCGTGTTCGGGCTTGTCGAAAAGGTCACCGATCGAGTGACGGAACGGGTAGTCACGCTCCTTGCGCTTAAGCATTCAGGGGCAGCGACGGGCAGCGACGAGGGTGTGCGGGTGCTGACAGATCCGGCTCCGTATGGACCAGACTCTAGTACAACACTCACGCAATCAACGATGACGTTGAATGGACGGTGATGATCCAGCTGGCGATGGGACTTGGCGACACACGCTCTGCGAGCGGCTTTCCAGATGTGTCGATTGGCGAAATGGATGGGCCGCTCCCGGACTTCAACAAGTGCTACCAGATGTGACGACTGGTGGAAGCGCAGAGGAAGAAGCCGACTAGAGCGAAGATCCACGAAGGATGGCTCGAGGAGTCGTGTGGCGCGGTCTTGGGCGGAGGCAGCGGAGAGTCTTGTGGAAGACTCGAGCGGAAGTTGGTAAATTGGAAAGTGAGATTGAAATGGTTAGTTGTTTGCCGGCTACGAGGTACCTAGTTACCCTATGTAATTATATGCATTTCACTATACTAGATTCTCCGTAGTCCGTGAAGTTGAATCTTGAAGGTAGTCGAGGACCGCGGTTCGCCTGAACCGGTCCGAGGTCTTACTTGAACCGTGTATAGTAATTTCAAATGAAAATGAATGAAGGTCTTGGTCGTGCACTCTTTAACTATGCTCTTCCAAACATAGCGATTACCTTTGACTAGGCATATGCCTGTCAGGCAGCTTAGTGGTAGATAATACATAGAGTAGCACTAGACGCCTCAGCGCCCTGGCCGAGGGCCGTGACGCTGGTGCGTCGTTCCTTGCGTCACTGCTGGTCGAAGCGCTCTCGGCGCTGCTCTGGAGGGTGGCGGCGTCCGCGCTGGCGCTGTTCGAATCGGTGACGTCGTTGTCGTCATTGTTGTCTTTGTCGCTGTCGCCGACCGACGCCGAGTCGTCCGTGGACGAGACGTAGTTGTCGTCGCTGCCGATGCCCGCGGCGTCGCTGGTGGAACTGTCGGTGGTGAGGCACGCGTGTGAGGCCTGCGTGTCTGTCGTGGCTCTGTATATTACGACCTGCTGCTGTTGTCGTTGCCCAATACTCCATGCTGCCGCTTTCGGTGCCCTTGAGATTCAGTGGCTGACCGCGAGAAGCTTGAACATTGTCGGTGGCACAAACTTCATCAGCCGCAGTTGAGCATCGCGTCCCTAAGTTGGTCACATTGCTGCTCCATAGTTGACACACAGGGATTGACCGCGTGGCCCGACTTCACCAACGGCGTGCCGAGCACGAAGGTCGCCAGCCCAACGTGGTCACGGAGGGCTGGTCCTGCTGATTTCTGTTCAACAGCGATTCGAACGAAGAGATGTCGGTGGCAGCCCGCTAAGCTGTCTGCCCGATCCGATTGCCGCACTCTTTGGTCAGCCAGCTCAGGCCGTCCTTGCGGCGGACGATCTGCTCGTGATACGCTGGCCATGCTTGTTCAGACCGGCAGCTCAGTGAACGTTGAGATGCCAGTCATAGCTACTATCGTCTTGCCGACTTGTTCTTCTCTGCGGGTCATGAAAAGGAAGAGGATGTGTTCGAGGCTAAATAGATCGGACTCACTGGCCATGCCGGCATACCTTGTGCAAGATCCATCAACTAGCTGAGCGCACGCTGTGTAATACAAAGGCGTCTCCCATGCCACCAGCCACCGTCACTTGCTTTGCTGCTTTGGGTGGTGAGGACGCTCCGATATGGCTCTAACCCGGCCTCCAAGATAGAGTGACCTAACCCTTCAACGAGCTCGATTTAACAAATCGGGCCCCTCCAAGATGCGTAGCTAAAATGGACGGCAAATTTTTTGATAACCACAATACAGTTCGGATAGCTCAAACTGGGTTACCCTGGCCGCCCGAAAAGCTATTGTACTGGCAAAATAAAATGATATATCATCCTGCTTCAGCTTGTAATTTTAAAACTACAATACTTGTCGCCCCCCCCCCCAAAAAAAAAAAAAACAATGGAGTACATGTACACATAATGAAGTTGGTGCGTAAGTATTTATTACCAAGCGAGATATGGATTCAGCCTAGTCAAGTGAAATTACTGTTCTAGTCGCCCTTTTCAAGGAAAACTGGCTGTCTCGAAAGAAACCGAAGGTAGCTACGATATAATGTGCACCCTCGTTTCCATCGCACTGTTCTTTATTTAGTATCCCTATGCGCTTTTTAACATTCTGGTGTTAACTATAAGAAAAATTCACGCAGCACGCTCCAGCTAATCTGTTAGCTGACGTACCCATCCTGATATCTGAGTTGTGCATCTATCGGGCGCGTGTGAGATTGTGTGCTTCGTAGGTCTGAGTCCACCGAGGCATTCGCTACGATATCGAAGGCAGTGCTATTTCCTAAAACTTATGCAACGCTCTACTTCTTTTTAGGATGCTGGCGATTTTCTAAAAGTTAACACACCGAGCACTTACAGCCAGGAATTAACGATCGCAAAGTCATGGTCATTTCATTGGAATTTCTCTGAGTTGAAGACTTTTTTAAAGGCGCCAACCCATGCACCAGTAATAGCAAAAGGAAATGATTCTCTATTGGTAGCGTATCCACAAGCTACTTCTACGTAAGTGTAACATTTCAAAGTATTTGTTTTAGCATGTTTTAATATATTTTACTTTAGTGCTATTTTCAAGAATAGTACTAATAAAATATGTGGTATTATACATGTATTAATACACACAGTACGGTACTTGAATTCTAGCCTTACAGTAGAGTACTGGCCCTGTCCAAACAGATCCACATGCCAATCAACTAGTGATGGGGACGTAAACGACGTTAACTTTTACCTATCATATAGTATATTCTGTATGATAGGTTTTGGCGAAATTTGCCGTTTTGGAATAGCTAGCATAAACGTATGCTAGTCATAAGTATGTATATGGCGTTAAAATTACGAAACTCGTACTACCGCATTCGTTGAAAAGCTGGACCTCCAATTTTTCATCGAAAAACTGGACCCCCTCTCGATTTTCCTATATAAAGTGATGGGCCAAATTTGAAGGGACTTCATCGATGAGCTGGCCCCCTGTTATATTTTGTCCAATCACAGTTGAGATATGACTGATACTTCCTGATTTGCAGCAAATGGCATTGAAAGCGACTATTCAGCGTTTCATCGATAAGCTGGACCCCTTTGGCGATGCACGACGGGGGTCCAGCTTTTCAACGAATGCAGCAGAACTATCTCAAAACTACAGCTCAACTTTTGAACCTATTTTACTGGTTTGCGGGCTTTGGCCCGCGGTATTCGCAGTTCGGTAGATTTTTTTTACTGTATTCCAAAACCTGCATTGTAGAAAACTTTATTTACTTCTAGTAGTCCTATGTAGTAGCGCTACGCGTGCGGTAGAAGTGCGTTGCATGAAGAAGTTCTTGAATTTTAGCACATGCTCCTATTTTTGTACTGTGAAGTGCCATGCATCCATTTGCTGGGTCGCTTATGCTGCTCGATCTGCCGTGGCGGATCTGCGTGAACGCACACTACTGCTATTCTTGCTGCATACTGCACAGCTTCAAGCTACCAAGCTGAACTTCGGCTCATGTTGAATGTATAATGTGTTTATTTTGCTGGGACTATTCGGGCTGTATGTCCAAATGTGACGCCTGGAACTTGATTTTGTAGAATTGCTATACTGATTTTCATGCCGTTTAGCTCTCCTCGCTTCGAAGTCGACGCGCAACAAACACTACCATTAATCAATTGCGATAATTTTGTTTTACTCAAAGACGATTTATCGTTGCTGCTGCTGTGGCTTCCGACATGTACATGTAGATATCGTAGGCATGACAGCCACATGTCTAAACTAACTCAACCGATACGACGGCGGCCCTTCTCGCTTGCAGCCCCGATACGGTCGATCCTCACAGATTACATTGATTGACTGATCACTCTTCTTTATTATTGCTGCTGCCTGGTTAGCTTACATTTGTATCGCCGAAAACATGCTCTGAGCTGTAATGAATCGGAGTTTGCGCTGCTATGCTGTAATATAATTGCTGTACAACTGTCATTTGCTGTTGTTTCAAATGGCTCTTAAACCGATACTGCAACATAAAATCTGATGTTGCATTATCTCAAACATCCGCAGGGGCGCAAACGACAGTTCTTACGACTGCGAATAGAGTACGCCGAATGACAGGTTTTCAGTTAACGTCGTTTACGCCCCCATCACTGCAATCAACTGGTCGAAGCAAAACCTCTGGTCCGACTAGTACCTTTTCTTCTGTTCTTGGCGTGAAACTGATTTTGTACGTGCTGTGTCGTTCACAGTTGATCTTTAGCGATTCGGGGTGAGGGGGGGCTGACACGGCCACTGCAAAGTGCTCGACCAGCACCTTCAAATCCTCTTGACTTAGTTAAACTATAGAGGTCAAAGTGCCAGCGACGAGAAAGGCATATTCGATTGTCACAGATAATTGCATAGAAGTGACCAGCCGCGCTACGCTTGGCTGGGCGTCCCTTCGGCGTCCCCGCTGTTCGCTTCGCTCGCGATATATAGATTCTCTCACCTGGCGAGTGCAGTGCTCGGCTCACTGGAATGCTCGCCTGCGTTGGCGCCCTGTCTATGAAGTTACTGCGTCGCCCCGCCCATGGAGTGGTGCTCGAGCATTTTGTAGTGCTGTGTGCGATTTCTGTCGGTGTATATGTAATTTTCTCGGGGAGGGGGGCTAGGAATAAAAAAATGTAGATACCAGGGATAATTACTAAAAATGCATATATTATTTATAGTAACGAACGTACCAGTCACGTTTATAGGAAAACAGAAAAAGGTAGTACAAAACCGAAATTCACTTGATTTCAGAATAATGTATTTCAAAATCAAGTCTTAGCGGCTTGCCCTAACGTTAAGAAGAGGAGTAACTACACCTTTGCCAATCCAAGTTGGCAGTAGTGTAAGGCAAAGCCGAGAGTCCCGTAAATACGAAAAATATTTTTTCAAAAAATTATTTTCGAGGATAAGTACATACCAATGTGGTTTTAGTCCACAGCAAACATCTAAGTTCCATTCGCTACAAATAGCGGCGGCGACAGACAGCGCACAGTGTCACGCCATCTTGTTAACGAGGCGCATGTCAATGCTAGGCATGCAGTGCTCCGCGGCTTTCTCGAGCGGTCGCATCCTACGCTCCGTCTTATCGCGGTGCGGCACTTTGATCATCTCATCGTGGCTCAAGGCCAGATACGCCTCGATGCGAGCTTTTAAAACGCTAAAGCAACCTGCACAATAATACATTGTATCGCCTCAGTACCTCTAAGTATATCGCACCAAAAGATAAGCTAACCGTGGGTTACACATAGGCGAGTACGGCCCTAGGCGTAGCAACTCCAGATCCGTCCGCTGTTGGACGAGATCCTCCGTCTGGCAGTGGGCAGGCGCGTTGTCCAGGACGATGACGATGCTCTTGCCAGAAAGTGGTCGCGGTACACGTCGTGAGCCTTGACCGTGTCGTATACCTCGTCCACAAACTCGGCATTGACCTTCATCTTGATGCTGCCACGACGGGTGGCGTAGTGCACGAGGCCGACTTCGGGGGAAACTGCGCACTGCACCTGTAAGTTAGCTCCCTTAGAGGGAGGGAGCTTGACGATAGCGCGTTGTCCGACAGGAGCGCGGCCTTGCGTCCGCTTACAGTACAGGTTGTAGTTGGTCTCGTCATAATAAACGATAAAAGCACCGTTCTGCTCATGCTTCAGCAACGCTTCACCAAACACCCTCCTCTTCTCGATATTTACGGCATTATTGCAGGTCTCGGGCTCTACGCGAACCTATCACAGGGAACATACGTAGTACAGTAGATGATAAAAGTGATAGCATAATAACTTGAAGGCGTACTTGCTTAACAGTGTAAAGTTTATCGCAAAGCTTCTTACTGATCAACCAAGTGCTAATATGCACCCTGAAGTCGAACGCAAGCATTTCCTGCATCTGCTGGCAGTTGTCTTCCAGGTATCCCACGAGAGCTTCCTCCATTTCTGGAGTACACTTCGTGCACGCCGCCCGCGCACCGCCTCTCTTCTTGACATAAGCGGGTTGGCGCTGGACGATGTTGCGGGCAGTAGTGGGAGGAATGCCGTTGCAGTCGGCAACCAGCACCCAGTCACGCTCTTCTCGGTGTGCATCGAGCACACGCGTGCGGGCCGCAAGCCCATACTTCGAGTCTTGGGGAATGTTGCCGGCGGAGACAGTCTGTTACTGACCAGTGATTTGAGTTTGCTCTGCACTAAATCCGCAATGCTCTAAATACTAATTTCAGAAATTATTTTCCGATTTTTGGATGTTACTTAAGTTACTTCACACCGTTTTGCTTTACACTGCTGCCAACTTGGATTGGCAATCGTGTAGTATTTGCGTTTCGAAAGGGACTTTTTAACCGATTTTGGTTTCACCGTCTCCTTACCAAAACCCCATATATCCCCAGGTGACACAGAGTGAAATGGACCACAATCGGAATGATACATTTCTAATAATAGATATGCTCTTTGGGCGTGCCTGCTGACCTCAAAGTTTGTCGGAAGTGCATACCGCTGCGTTGTGGTGGAAGCGGACGGAAAGACCATGCCTCTCCCTTTTACAGTGGAAAAAACAGGTAGGTGCAAAGTTACGGTCATTCACTTTTATACCTTCCGGAGTAGAGATCAAGCCTCATGGTGTCCACGCCAAACAAGCGGAACGCAGCCAAACAGCACGCCAACCGCGTTGCGAACTTTGAAGGAGCAATGCGCTTGCTTGACGAAGGAGTCTCGATCGCGAGGTTCGCTAAGTGAGCGCCAAGATCGATCGTTGAAGAGGCAGGGGGTTTTAGTCGTCAGCCTTAACGCCGTGTTCTTAGGGCTGGAGCAACTCGCCGTTCTAGTGCCACCTACTCTAGCGCCCAAAAGGCAACGTACTTTTATGAACGGAGGCGTTCTCATGACACGTCCTGAGATGGTGGAGTCCGTCCTTAAAGCGGAAGCTGAGCTCCGGCGAAAGGCCGAAGACAAGATCGCAAAAGCCGAAGAACGATCATTAAAGAAGGAGCTGAAGGCGCAAACTGACGTTCTGAAGAAGGAGGAACAACAGCGGAAAGTAGCTCTGAAGAGCGAAACGAAGGCAGCGAAGGCTACGAAGTCAGCAAAGAAGCCCCCGAAGAAACGCGTCGCAGTGAAGGGAGTGAAGACACCAAGAGATGGTAAAGCTCGGGCGAATTCGAGTGCGAACGCGAACAGCCCTCCCTCCGTCAATATTGCGAGTTGGCACCATGTTAATGGCCTTGAGCATAGCTCAGGACTTAACGAACCCAATGAGCGGGTACCGACCCTAGACTTGCGGCAAGAAGACGCTCTTAGCTTGCTCGCCTTGGCGGGTAGCTGCTCTGAATTTAGTATCGTAGTCTGATGTTGTGGTCTTACAGTAATTGATATGGCAATGCATGCGGCACCTGATTTTCATGTGACTTTAGTATGTCGTTCCACTTTGCGCCGATTTTCAGTTGTGGCCCCGTTGGTATAGTGAAGCAAAGTGTGCCCTCGCATTTAAGTATGTGAACTGCTTGTTGCAGTTAGTTCAGGTTCAAGTGCAGAAGAGTGAAACGAGTGAAGGTTGTGGGTTTGAGGCCGTGGACATGGGGAGCAGTGAAGGCTAAAGGCGATTGGGTACGCGACGTCACCCTGAAGCTCAAAGCCGCTCCCTGCTACGTGAAGTAGCCTGCGATGTCCACTGGGGCCAAGAGGGGTTTTCACCTTGGTGGTTCCCCCTCAGTGCAACACAACACCACCGACTGATCGAACATAAACCTCACGTTGCAAACTGCCATCTCTGAAGCAAACTTCGCTACCTCGCTACCTGCAGCTACTGAAGTCTAGTGCTACGCAGAAGGAGTCGCTGCGCGTAACCAAGGAAGCGTGCCTCCAAGGTTATGAGCCCGAGGCATCACTAGGCTTCAGCTTCAAGGAAACTTTACTGAGGAGTCTTTCTGGTGAAGAGCGAAGTGAATAACATGTCTGGTGTGGGGCAGCAAGTTGGAAGCAGTGGTGGAGAATCTGGCGCTGGACATTCCGATGGTGGTGGCCAAGGTACTGTCGGTGTACAAGCAGCTGGTGGAGGACAACAAGGTGGTGCGCAACAAGGTGCTCCGGGTCTCCAAGCAGGCGGCGCTCGTGTAGTGCTTCGTGGGACGAACAAACCACCGCGGTTTACCGAAGACGGCGGGTTTGATTTGTTCAAAACACAACTACGCTCCCACCTGACCCAGCGAGGATGCTGGGGCATTATTAGTGGTCATGGCCCAGCAGCAGATCTACGAGGAGAACACGTTTGTGTGCGACGCGTCGTTGCGAGGTCTTTTGCAGAAAGACTCGCGGAAGGTGTGCAAGTTTGAGTCTGGCTTTGACATGTGGCGAGCTTTCGAAGCCGACAAGACCAAACGGGCCTTCTCAAGTGTAATTCGCTTGCGACGCAAATTGTACACGAGCACAGTTTCGGTTGGTGGTAATATGAAGCAGTGGCTGGATGATGTGGAGGGCATCAGACGTCAGCTGGAGAACATACACGAGATGATCCCCGACAAAGAGATGGTGAACATTATTCTGCAGGGAGTGGAGGAGACTCACCGTAACGTCGTGAGAATCTTCAACCAGCAGCAACCGGACGGGCAACCTGTTACCTTAGACGTCGTACTCAATATATTGCGTGGGAGACGGAGACGGACAAGGCGCATGAAGCGAGAAAAGAGGAACCGTCTGCTCCTGGAACAACGAAGGTGATGTCCATCCAGAAGCAGCCTTTCTAGCAACACCAGCCCGGACAGAAGCGGAAGCGAGGCAACAGTGACCACCCTGCGAACAACAAGAAGGCAAAGACCGGTAGTAAGAAGTGCTGGTTCTGCAAGAAGAAGGGTCATCTTCGCCACGAGTGCTACGGCTACTTGACACAGCAAAAGAAGAAAGCTGACGGTTCGACTGGCACTTCGTCTACTGGTAGTGATGGCGGATCAATGAAGATGGTGCAGGTTGTCAACACCCTTTCTATTGAAAGGATTGGCATAGTGCGAGAAGCCACGGATACTGTGGATGCTGTGGTAGTTCCGATGTCGTTCGGCCCCTGGATGATGGACTCTGGAGCCGCGACCCATGTTGTATTGACGAGCGTGCTTTTCTATCCCTGGGTCTGGACGATACTCATTTCCAGGATTGGGAAGGCGGCATCACCTCGGGAAAACCTTTCGGGAAAATGGTCATTCGCACCAAGGTGGGGCTTGACGACTCCAACACTGGCCCATTGATCCCGCTGAGTGAGACGCGATTTGCACCCAGGGGGACAACCAACATCTTGTGTCAATACAAGCTGGAGCGAGACGGTTGGGTGTACACCGATGAGCCAGACCCGGAGAAGCGGAGCATGATCCTTACCAAAGGAGATGTTCGTTTGCTGCTCCCGCGTCGTGGGGCCCATTTTTGGCTCACGGCCCAAGTTGTCGATCCTGTTGAGGCGAGACTGTGCATGATGATGCCAGTGACAAAGGAGGACATAATTCTCAGGTGGCATATGCGCTTTGCCCACCTCAACGGACCTGCACTGAAGAAGATGGCAGAGCTGCACATGGTCGAAGGACTTACGCGGGTTACAGCAAGTGACTTCAACACGCGCATTGATTGTCACGCGTGTCGTGTCGCGAAGCTGAAGCGCATGTCCTACAGGCGCCAGCACGACAAATGCCAACAAGGTGTCGGCGCTCGGCTGATGTCAGACATCTGCTATGTTGGGATTCAAACCTCGGGAGGAGCCAAGTACTTCCATCTTGTGCACGATGAGGCTTCGCGGTTCACATGGGCATTTCTGCTGCAACTAAAGAGCCAAGCGGCAGGCAACGTGATGCAAGTTGTGCACATAGTGGAGAAGCGTTACGCAGTGGGAACTTTCTCGTGTGATCAAGGTGGTGAGTTTGTCAACACAGTGCTGGTCAACTTCCTACGGGATAATGGGATTGAACTACTGACTACGAACGCGTATACCCCTGAGGAGAACTGGGTCGTGGAGAAAATGAAGGGGAAGCCGATGGCCAAAGTGAGCGCGTGGACTTCCGTTGTGTCTGTGGGGAGCAATTCTGCTGTACGTCGTCACTGTAGACAACATGAGCGGAACCAAAGCGCTGAAAGACAAGACGCCGTACGAGATGTACAAGGGCAAGAAGCCAGACGTCAAGCACTTATTCGTGTGTGGTTGTGCGGGATACTGCCTCATCGACTCTGTGAAGCGAGCGCACAAGCTGCAGCGCCGCTCACGTCCAGTGATGATGCTCGAATTTTCACTCTACACTAATGGATTTCGGATGCTGGACTTGGAGACAGAAGATATGGTGGTGAGTTGTAACGTGGAGTTGGACGAGAGCAAATCGGCAGAAGCTTCTTGATAAGTGGTATTTCGGTAAGAAGAGTCAATTGCCGAAGGAGATCCCTTACGTACCGCATTCAAGAAACGCTTCTGCGTATCATCCTTCCGCAATTGAGGGGGGGGGGGGGAGTTGGAGGAGAAACCCCCGGCTGCAAATGTCTCTGCAGATGTGAGTGCGGACGCTAGCAGTGATGATTATCTGGATGAAGACGAGGATGTGAAATGGAGGAAGCTGGTTTCAGTGGGAGCAGCATCGAGGCTGCAGGCGGAGATGAAGATCATGCTGAACAACCTCCTCCACCTCCTGCTACTACCGCTACAGCAGGTCGCGATGCGGCACCGACGCCCCCTGCTGCACGACCAACTCCAGCGACTACTACAACATTTGCAGGACGTGCTGACACCCGTCCAAGTCGCCCAGCACCAGCTCCGACGACGCCAGCAGCAACCGAACTCGCGTTACAGCCCGTAAACGTTTGTGGTGGTAATTACCCTGATGCAGTGCATGCTAGTTGGGGCGGTCAATGAGATATTGAACCCAACCAGTGTGCGCGAAGCGATGGCTTCACCTCGGGCAGCGGACTGGAGGGAAGCCATGGACAAGGAGTACGACTCGCAGATGCGGAACGGGACGTGGGTACTGGTGCCAAGGCCAAAGTCAACGATGGCTAATCCTGTCAACATACTCAAGTGTCTGTGGGTATTGGTGACGAAAAGGAATGAAAAGGGCATCGTGGAGAGGCTGAAGGCGAGGTTGGCGGTGAAAAGATTTATGCAGAAGTACGGAATTGACTACCTTGCAACCTACTCGCCCGTGGTGCGCATCGAGCCTGTGGGATTGGTGATGATACTTGCACTCATATTTTCCTTGGACCTGAGGCACATCGACTTCGTGACAGCCTTCTTGAATGGAGTGCTGACGGGCATGACTATCTACATGGAGCCGCCGGAAGGATACGACGACGGAACAGGGCGAGTGTGCATGCTACTCAAGGGGCCCTATGGACTTAAGCAGGTCCCGAGGTTCTGGGGTGATACGCTGAAGAAGTTTCTTCTGGAGCTTGGGCAATCTGCATAGAGTCGGCCACTGTGAAGAGGGGGGGGGGGGCATTCTTCAATCGACCCTTTGGAGCCCAGTCGACCAGAAATCAGCTGCGTTCCGACCAAAATGCGCCCCAGCCAGTTCTTCCTGATGGTACTTGTCACCTTCGCTGTCTGCTGCAGCACCCTCGCGTCGGCTGAAGACCCCATCCAAATGAAGATCACAGTATCGACTGGGCAGCACCAAGCCACCGCTCGTTACCTGAAGGGCAGCAAGACCACAACCGACATGACCGTACTTCGCGCTACATCAAGTGCAAACCTCGTCGAAGCTGTCGAAGTTCGACAGCTCCGATGAGGTTTGCTTCAACTCTTCGACTCGAAGTGGCTCGGGCCGAGCTGAAGAACGTATCTGTGCGTGTACTGTATTGATTAATAGTCGCGATGAACGTTGGTTGGATTCTGCTCGAGCTTGTTCTGTGGGTGGCAACGTCACGGACACCACACGCATGAATTTCTCGGGTGAGTCATAATACTTGACTCACGAGCCACCAGCACTTCCCGGCACAGCTCAAAGATGCAGGGACCTGGGCGCGAAACGAGTCGTGCCGGTAGAAATGACGTCCCCATCTCAGAGATGCTCTGTGCCAATGCGCTACTGTACCCCTTCTTGCAATGCGCTCATTTCTCGATTCGCTCTGGTCAGTGCAAAACAAGCAACGCAATCGGCCAGCTGCGGTCCTTGAGCTCAGAACCTGTAGCGACTTTCAGGAATGCGAGTCAAGTAGAAGGCCGCTTGGTGAGTTGGTGGAGAAATTGAAAGTGCCATTCATCGTTAGCTCTGTCGCTCTGCCTTACGCTACAGCTCCTTGCTCACCTGTAGAGTACTTACCGGCCTCCTTCCATCGAACGACGTCACTGCACGTCCGGAATCGACGCGATCGCTGCCTCTGCTACTGCGTCCTGCGTCAACCCGTGTAAGTCATAGAGTCGAGCCGCGAGCTTCGATCGATCGCCTTACCGCCACGTTGAAGCCACGTTGAAGCCACGTTGAAGTCACGTTGAAGTCAAGTGACGAGAGCTCTTACGTCACCAAGTCGGCCACCACCGACATTCCACTGCCGTCCAATCTTGCTGTTTGGACGCACCCAAGCACATTCTGCGAAGCGGGCTGGCGTGTGCTTTGCCAACTGCAACATTGCTCGTGCAACCGCCCACGTTGCGAGCACCAACGGCCTCGACAACTCCGTCCAGGCCAACGACGTCGCAGCCAACTCGAACCCCACGCTCAACAACGAAGAGAGCACTATTAGTCGCCACCTCAAGGGCAGCTAGAAGACGGCGGCTGAAGCGGACGAAGAGCGCAGGATGCCCAGCTATACCCAACTTAACGCCTTCTTCCAGAAGCTCCCGGACAACATCGGCGCCAAGCACCTCAACTGGGTCGAGAAGTACAGGGCCAAGAACCCGGCGTTCAGCAACGCCAACATGTAGACATACGGACAGCTCTACCTACCGTAAACTGTTGGAAATGAAATGCCATCTTCGGTTCCGCTGCCTCCTGCTCTCCTTCGAACCATTCACGACGCAGATCAACGCCCTTGTGCCTCATCATGTCGTGGCCCTCACTCTCCCTCTTTGGTCGGAATACGACGTGCTGCTCATTGCGGTGTTTGCGGTGTGTCGATGGCAGACTACGATGACGCAGAGGCTGAGAGGCGAGGAGGTTACGATTATCAGGGCGTGCGGTCTCCGAGTGGCAAGCTGCGAAGCGTCGCAGTCTAAGACGACCTGCCCCCGCCAGAATTGGGGACCGGTACGTCTGTACCGTGAAGGAGAGGCTGCAGACTATCCTGGACGGGTAGGGTGAGGCGTCATTCTACCATTGCCGTCCGGATATACCTTCGCTAATACGTTCCAGTACAGACCCGCAGGTATCGTGATCGAATGTATTAACGTGCTGTTGAGTTTGGAACGTAGCGGTCGCCATTGCCGATGTACGTACGCGTCCCAGCAAGAGAGAGCGAGAAACATTGCTTTGGCTTGAACTTTTGTTTTAACTCACGCTTTTATTGGATTCGGGTTTTTTCCGCGGTGTTTTTCCGCGGTGTTTTTCCGCGTGTGACGTTTTAGACTAGGCTTTCCGCGTGTGCCAAGGTTTCACGCGTGTATAGTAAGTTTCTCATGTGCAGGTTTTCCGCGTGTGGTTAGAAAATTCCAAGCCATAGTTTCGACTTTAAGAGGGCCACGATATTTATAAATGGAGAGATTGCAATCTTTTGCATCGTTTTAGCCACTGCTATGAGTTAGCACAACGCGACCTCATCGAACTGAAGATCAGTCTCTGCGCTTTCACGACAAGTTGGAGGTGGTCAACTCATGTCGCCGGCCGAAAGTGATGACTAGTTCACGTGCCGTCGTCTGCTGGGGTGCTAGGGTCTACCAGCGATGGTGGGGGTGCGCATGCCAGGAGTCCAATACAGCTACGGCTCCATCGTTTGATACAGCACCAATCGACTGGATCACTTGAATAATGCGAATCACGGCCTTGCGTGGGCTGAAACGTTGCGACGTAGCCGTCTCGTGTTGTTGTAGTTCACTGAGTTCGTGGGGTGAATTCCCTGTTGCGGGTCGTTGTCGTGTTCGTCTCCGACTCCAGTTCATGCCTGGAGTGGACGGCTTCGCTGTCTTATAGGCGGCGTAGTCGAGACGTTCGCTGGGTTATTTGTCGTGATGGTGGAGTCGTTGTCGTGGGACTGTTGTACGTTGAGATTGTTGTCGTTGTAACGGGGGCTGGTCGCGTTGGACGAGTGAAAGCCCCCTAGAAAGAAGCTCGCGAGTCAAGCGTAGTCAGCCGCGGTGCGTTGATTAGAAGTACAACGCGTTGGATGTGGTCAAGGCTCAAAGTAGTCGTAGGCGTAGCCATGCGCATCGTCGTAGTAACAGGGCATATTGGAGTAGTCGTAGCCGATGCAGTCGTGGAGTTTGGTGTCGGTTCGAGCGGATTTGCCCCTTCACAATGATGATCATCGTCATAGCTATCGTCCAGTTCTCGCTTGCCTCGTCGTGCTGGCCCTCGTTACCGCAGTTGCTATTGTCTTGGATGTTGCTGGGGTAGTAGTATCACCAGTGTGATGCCAGTTTGTACTTATGCTGGTCAGCGTCGTAGTCGCTGAAGCAGAGTACATGGTCACAGGTTCATGGAGGCTGGCATGGCTTTCGTGATAGTCTAGGAGCTTCCTAGTCATACGCATACATTCTATGTATCATGCAAATCACCGTAGATTTATGTCCCATGAGACACACCGAAAAGGCTCCGTAACTTTGTAAAAGGACGCCTAGAGCGCCCTTTTATTAGGAAATATCAATGAGTTGTATACTATAATTTATTGAGGATACTCGCGAAAGGGTTAAAGCCGCGCAGCACTTGGTTTTACTAGAGTCTCGTATAAGTTCGAGTACCGACTATGCACAACGACGACATGACCATTTCTTCAAATCGTTGATCATGTTGTACAAACAGCATGTCCATAGTATAGATACACCGTGATAAGGACTTTTAAGCCAGTGGCTTTTTTATCAAGAGGCAAGGACCTCTAAGGGAGTGCAAAGCAGGGTGACTTGCACGGCATCTTGCACGAAAGCGACAACGCATCAAGGAAACCGTTCATAAACCTAGCGCATTGTAGCCTTGAACTATCACGACACGATGGAATTGGAGATTTTCGAGGATTCCCCGAGCCGCGCCTGTGATTGGTTGGCTCATAGGCTCACTATGGGAGAGGGAGACAGCGACACGTGGCGTATGGGAAAAGCGGATCCCGGCCGGACTCGCGTTGGCAGTGTACACGGTTTGGTGACCCCGGACGGAGATGTCCCCAAGAGCGGACCCCGGCTGGAACCAAGTACCGAACGAGAGGCAAAGCCCAAGGGAGCGTAGAAGTGCCTCCGACTGGAGGCCGCCTGCTCTTGGTGCCCTGTACAACGCAAGAGGAGCCCAACCGGATCGAGTGAAGACCCAGAAACCGTGAAGCGTTCCAAGACATCCCGGATGTGAAGCCCAAGTGGAGTGTGATTCCGTTTGGAGATAATCATGAATCCCGGATGGAGATACCAAGACGCCAAGATACCATCCCAGATGTGAAGATTCAGTATACAAAGTCCAAGATGTTTCCGACCGACCAAGCCGACCAGCCAAGATCTGTTCGGATTCCGTGGAACATTGAACTTCGCTTGCGTACCCAGTGATGATTGTACTTGCTGGAAGTATGCTACGAGGGACCGCGGACGATTACGACGACAAGACCATAGTGAAGACAAGTCAAGATGGAGTGCATGTAAAGATCGACAGAAGATAGCCAGACAGACAGACAGACAGAGAGACCACAGATAACAGATAAAACAGAGTTCGTTTTGCCAAGGATCGCGCAAGTGAGTTGGAGCAGCCTACCGGACGTGCATTCCCGGAGGACCGACTAAGTCTACGTGTGAGGGCCCAGCAACTGTGACATCTGGGTCGAGCTCCCGCAACCAAGTCCAGTCCAAGTTGGGGTGAGTACCAGGTTATCGAGGTTGATCCATCCCATTTCGTTTCCTAGTTGCGTTGAGCTCGTCCAGACCAGGAAGGCCCCGCATTTCATATTACTGATTACCTTTTCACCCTGGTTGGAGTAGTCCCGGGTGGGAAGTATTGATTTAAGAGATATTGTGTGATAGAAGGTAATTGATTGTGTTAGTTTCCCTCAGTACTTGAGGGTGGTGCGCGTGAACCAAAGCCGTCCGGGATTGACCAGTATCCCGGAGTCCGGCTGGAGTTGACTGGAGTAGTGACCGACCCTTTGACGGTCCAAAAGAACAAGGAAGGGCTACGTGTTTGTATATAACTCTGTATCTGTTTGTATTGTTTGGTTGTCTAAAGGCTGCCAGAGGCGACGTCCAGGAAGGTTACGTTCTGCCCTGCTACCTAGCGACCGACACGTATCAAGACAACTCATCCACGGTTGAAGACCCCTGGTTACGAAGACAAACGAACCCACAGGGATTGTTCACAAGGACACACGCCACCCCGGTTGGAGTGTACATCTAGGTGTACTATCTCTGGCTAGGGTTTGTTCTGGGTGCGCCCCATTCGGGAGTCTACACCCGGGACGCGCCAAGCTATACACCTGGGCGGTCAGGCGTTCACCCGCCTCGCCTCAATCACCTCCACATCATTTACCACCTTACTACAGAGGTCCACACACACATGCGCAACCTGATCTTTGTATATCCCCTCAAATCTGTTTCCATTACAGGCTAAATACCAGTCGATTCACTATCCTATTTCTAATTCCCTCTCAAAACACCATTTTACCTCGTAAAGTATCCGGGAAGATGGCCGGTATCTACGCTAGAACACGCTTCACACTCAACTTGGCACAACAGTTCTTGCTACACTATCTACACCACTTTTCTTGGGCCCTCTATAACGTGCACAGTTAGTTGCAAGTGATACACCACCAGTCAACTTACACAATACACGCAATAAATATCAAGTAATGGAATCTTTGTCGATTCAGAAGCGGTTTCTTTCTACCCTAAATCGAATTGACATTGCTACGGCAATCGCTTTGCATTTACTCTAGCACGCGTTCGCATAATTTATATCCGTTTATATCCTGTAATCTGGTCCACCGAACCCAAGCCCTGTGCACTTTGCGGGATGGCCTGACTTATGCAGCTAATCCGCCCATGTTTTAACATGGTGTACGTACAACATGTTTCTTGGTGTATCTACAACGTGTGGGCGTTGAGAGGTTAACTTTAGTTCTTTTGTAGTTAGTAGAACCGTTATTGACAACTAGCTAATCAACGTCATTTTCTTTTCTTCCTGCCACGGAAATGTGCACTGATGCCCAGGCAGAATCCATTATTTTTCGAATTGCGGTGTTGAGCTCGGAACCTTACCGGTACCGATAAAAATCCGTGCATTCGAATATTTAGGTTAACTGCTCAACTGAGGTTGCAGGATAACCGGATGAATCCAAGTTTGATAGGTCAAAACTGAAGTATAGCAAATCTCGATCGCGTGTAGGAGTAGGGTGTACCGGGTGTTTGCTCTTAGCGTTGACGCCGCCCACCCGGGCTCCCTCTCGCACAAGAATCGGGCGTGTACAGCAGTGATATAGCAGCATTCACACTCGGTTTAATAACATGGCGCAGTCGCACACATTTTTCATCCGGGTCGCCTGAATATCTAACAACAAACGTGTCTACTTCGATTCGCCCAAGTGTGTTATGGTCATTTAGCAAGTATCTATTTTAATACATAAAAGCTGTGAACTAATATCGGTACACCGTTCACCCTAATTAGTTGTGCCATAACTATTTACCGTATACGACCTAAAGGGTGCCTCCCCCTGTTTTGAATTTCAGTTTTCTCGGAAACAATTCGTATTTACTGAAAACAAAGTATACCACGCAATTCGTATTGCCTAGACCTACCCGAAACCGGTCTCTTTTCTCAGTTTAAGGTGAAACTAAAAATATTTTTCAAAACCGGTAAGTCCGACAATCAGCTACAGTAATCACGTTTTACAACATCTTCCGCGGTATTTTATCCTTCTCTTGCAGAAAGTACATCAGTAATTATTAGCATAAACAAGGGATATAACTGCACACGTTCGTATGTAGCTTGCAAATTAAAGAATAGATTAGAACCTTTATACAAAGCACTAGATGTCCATGCTACTGGTTCATTATCAAAGTTCTCAGCGCAAAACGTACTTGTAGGGATCTACCAGGCGTCCTACACGTCAGTCGCGAAGCCATTGTTAATGTTTTCATAAAAAATATTTATATTTTATTTAAAATATCATGTATCATAGTTAACGTTGCGTTTTGGTTGGGCCCTAGTGCCGTGGTGGTGGGTGGTACTCCGGCAATCGTTGTAGCACTGGATGTAGGCGGGTGGGTAGTACGTAGGTCGCTTGCTTGGTTTAGTGGTAGAATGTGAAGTGGCACGTCCCCATGGCCATATCAGCGGAACCGAGGTAGACACAGCCTGTGACGTCAACTACAACAGTTAGCCAAAACCATGTCTCGAATTTAGCGTCGTAGTGAACCTGATAGTGGTGAATTATGCCGAAAAACGCGCGACCATGTTAGTTTAGGAACTTGGTGGCTGTACAGAGCAGTCGTTGTAGCTCGCATGCAAGATAAAGGTAAGGCAGGCGGATAGGTACGCATGTAGGTGCCGGTTGCTTTAGAATGAGGAATGGCTGAAGTCATGCACTGACGAAACACCATCTGAAGAAGACAGAAGGCTAGTGACCCGAGATCGGACTCAGTTACCGACTCCGTTCCGGGTCACCAATAGAAAGACGGCCACTGACAAAGGACCACGATACCGGCCTCAGTTTACCGGCTTCAGTTAACGAGGTTCGAATCAACCCGATTTGAGCTGGCTAGCAGCATGACCTATCGGCCACTGCTATCCCAGTAATATCTGTCCACTTCCTCTGGTGGCATGTGACATCTATCTAGAAGGAAACGAGGCGAACAGACATCTATCAAAATCTGTAAGGCCGGATTCGATTGAGTGCTGCCTGATGTAGTGCGAATGTTGTTCGCTGGGGGGAGAAGCTACGAAAGTAGCGTGAATGTCGTTCGATGACATCCAAAACTCTCCCCCAATCGACAGTTCTTCGAACTGCAAACTTACGATAATATCAATTTACTGTCTTACCTCCGCGCTGTTAATAACCATGTATAGGCAATCTATTAGTTGCAGCCCCTCGCAAGCATACAAATATGCTTACCTTCGTGCTTACCTTCGTGCTGTAGGTGTTGCAGAATGGGAAATGATATTTGATAATGCGATTGATGGTTTATCATCGATAGAGACGGACAAGATAATTACTCAGATCAGAGGTCGCAAACGCAAATTTTCGATCAACCATAACCAACTATGGATTTTTGAGCGGTGAAACGGATGACCATGACCAACCGTAATCATCGTTCGGTTAACCATTGGTGACCAAAATTTAGTTTTGGTGAACCATGAAAGTGATGCACTATTACAGCTTTTTTTTAATCTACAATAGGAAACATGTCATTTAGAATTTCTGGGCTGGGCGCATTTCCTGTATTACCAAGGTGATTTCTGACATCGCACTCGAGGCGGGTATCGCTGAAACGGACCTCGCAACAAATCCCAAAGCTGGAAAACAGGGAGGTTCGCGCATTTTGACTACATCGGCCATTGGTTTTCCGCGTGTGCCCGGGTTTTCCGCGTGTACCCGCTGTTTTGCGCGTGTAACGAGTTTTCCGCGTGTGATTTGATTGTTTTCCGCGTGTGATGTTTTGTTACTACACACACTTGTTATCATTCCCAACAACGCCACCACGGCAAGTCAACCAAAGGTAAATACAGTTTTATTGCGAGGTCTTGAATGCCATACGGCTCCGTTGACACCTCTTCGCCCGCGACATCAATCTCCTAGTAGCTGGTGTCGTCTTTAGTAAGCCAAGGTCGCACCACCTCATCAAAGTTTCTAGTCGACGTGCCACTATCGTCCTCGGTCACTAGAGGTACAAGACATTCCAGTTCGTTGGAATCCTGGTTAAGCAGCCATTTTGGTCAATGGCTTAGGGATTGATCTGTACGTCGTATCCTGCTGTCTCACCTTTGGTCGCTCGCAAAGGCGACCTGGAAGCCTCCATGCTGAGATCGACTTAACCAGAACCTCCAAATTGAAGGCATCACGGATACTCATGTAGGATTATGCGCGCACAGCCACAGACACATATAGCGCCTTACAGTCGCAGCGGTACTCCTTTCGGATACACAGTATCAAAAATATCGTTGTCAGACCAAACGTTAGTGCTACCAAGACAAGGTTTGGCTAAAACCAAAACAGTGATAGAACATACCTCAGACTTCAGCCAACTTGAATCCCAAGGGTGCTTAAAAGACAATACGAACACGTACGGGCATCCGTTCGGGCGAAATTTTCACCACACATGGGGTATTTTTCGTCGCTCCATTTAACGGAATGCCACCAATATGCTGTTCGCCGGGTGCGTTTTGAGCTGGTAGATTTTGGTCGTGGGCTTGGTGCTGCCTCGCTTCCAGATGCAACTTCCGGAACCCCAAGGGCTCGTTCGGCGGCTGGAGGTCCTTCTTCGGCGGCAGTCGCGACGCCGACAAGCAGAGTCTGGTGCAGAGCTCGCAATCGGGTACCCGAACCGGGTACACCCGAAACAATCACCGGGTGAAGCTTGGGTACCCAAGAGTAAGGATAAAAATAAGTGGAAGGTTTCGCATCCCGACTCTTATGTGTTTTTGACGACGCCTGGCCCAACATCCAAGCATGGAGACCGATAACCTCCCTAATACACAACATGAAGTCTCTACGTTGATAAGGCACACGAAGAAGCTAAAGGTGAGGTCCAATGCGGACCTGATTTAATTTAATGGACACGCAACCAGAATGCACGGGTGAACGATCTTTATTTTCATAATAGACATCACCCCTTCTTTCAAATACTTCGCTTTGACCGTTGATAGAATGTAGCACCGCCCAGAGTATAATTTATCTCGGGTGGGGATTACCGTCGGGTGGGTGCGGGTACCCGAGTTTTGCTGATTGCGAGCTCTGGTCTGGTATCCCCGGACGCCAACGAACGCAATGGGCTGCTGGCTGACAAAGGCGACAAACCGGAAGGTGGGAAGCCAGTCAAAGTGACCAAGCGGTCGCTGCAGCCCATCGGTGGTGCGGTAGGCAGCGACGACGACGATGAAGAGGAAGACGTGTTAGACGTACAGCCACCCGAGATCGTCTAGCAGAACGACAGACGCCCACCCCACTCAAGCACAGACTCTATAATACCTTTTTGCGTGTTGTTTCTTGCGCGTGTGCGTCAACCTATCGTCTTCTTGTCGTCATGCTGGATTAAAACGCCTCCCCATCATGTCAGACTGGCGAGAACGAGCTGGGCGACGGAGCCAAGAAACGCAGTTCCTCTTCCCCTTCTGTCAGCATCGTGCCTCCATCTACGTCTGCAGCATCCAGCTCCCATAACAAGTCAATGGTGTCCCCTCCCGCCGTCACGTCTTGCCCGATTCCTGCATCTAAATCCAGTGCTAGACCCGTGAGCACGTCGTCCGCTTCGAGCGGAGCAGCGGACGCGTCAGCCTTGCCGTCCACGACGAACACGTCGTCCGTCGGGAGCTCTAGCAGCTCGTTCACCGTCGGCAGCGTTAGCATCTCGCCCGTCGTCCCGAGCTCCATCATGTCCAGCTGATCCCCTTCCGAGCTCTCGGAGCTGCTGCTGGTGGGCGGCGTCACGTGCTTCCTCTTCCTCGGACGGGGCGAGCACACCGGCACGGCCGCCGGCGTGGCTGCAGTCCACAGCGGCCGGCCGAACAGCACGCGGTACGTGGCCAGACAGCGCTCCCCGAACTGCCAGCTGCGGAAGCTGCCCAAGCTCACAGCGCCGGCCACCGGCCTCGCCCGATGCTGCGGCTTGGCTGGCGCACAGGGCGCAGTAGCCGCAGCCTCTTTAGCCACAAAATGGTCAGCCAGCAAGTGCGCGAACACCGACGGGTCCTGCGTCCGCAGATCCGCGAACCGGAGCGAGTCCGTCGCAGCAGCCACAGAAGCAGAGGCACCAGCATTGCCACTGGTAGTAGAGCTAGAGCTGACTGAGCTGTGCTGCTGGCGCTTGGCGCGGCTGTTCCAGTTGCGGCGCTTGCACTCGTCCACGAGCTCCTGCGTGGCCGCGGACGCGTCGTCGAAGTCGTAGGCGTCCAGCGCCGCCGCCGATGCGAAGCGCGAGTGGGCCGCGTGCTTCATGTCTGCACTACATAGCATGGGTTAGCTGCAATTGCAATTGCAGTGGAGCTAGAGATAGATAGATAGATAGATAGATAGATAGATAGATAGATAGATAGATAGATAGATAGAGAGAGAGAGAGAGAGAGAGAGAGAGAGAGAGAGGTAGATGACTTACAAGTAGGGTAAGGCTGGTTGGATTTGCTGCCTGGGCGGCGCAATGCGACGGCGGACTGAAGAGTGGATACGCTGGCGGATACGCGGATCTTGAAAGGTCGCGAGATATGCTCTCGTACTTAGTCGGACGGATGGGTACATGTTCACTTTGAGTCCCAGTTTAAGTTGCTGCAGATGGAGGATCTGGAGACGTCGGCGGCGCTCGAGTTCCACGGCGCGCGCTTCGTGGTGACGCTGCAGGTGCAGCAGCAGCTGCTGCACCTGCAGGTGGAGGCGGCGGACGCGGCGGCGGCGCCTCCCAGCGTCTGGACGGGGCGCTTCCCGGCCTCGGACATCGAGCAACTCACGCGCCAGACGGGCAACTCCAAGCGCTTCCCAGTGTTCGTGCAGATGCTGCTTACAGCGCTGCACCGCCGCAGCGACGCCGTGTTCGTGGACCTGCTGACTGCAGCGGACCTGGATCTCTACCGACAGCGGAAAATGCAGCCCGGGACGGCCGTCGAAGGGTGCGGAAGGACAACTTTCTCTTGGAGCAACTTAAGAACATATTTTCTAAAGTTTTGGGATGAATTATTATTATTTATTATATTTTTTCTGTAGATTGACGAGTGCTGGCGGTGCTGCATCGAGTGGCAGTGGCAAGAGGTTCCTGATCCTGACTTATGCCGTCGAGTTCGACCGAGTTCACTACCCGCTGTCCTTGACGCCGGAGCTTTCGCCGTCTCCTGAAGTTCTGCAACGCACCATTCGCAGGCTGAAGCAGGCGCTGGCGGAAAAGGAGAACGGCCCTACTGCTGCTGGTAGTGCGGCTTCGGACTCTCGACTAGCGGATGAGAACGCCGTACTGAGAGAGGAGAATCGCTGCTTGAAGAACACTCTGAAGCAGTATTGCGACGGGACGAGGGAGGGTGGCAATGGAGTGCTGAACTCGACGGGTGAGCTGCAGCGAGAGCTTCAGGTGAGTTGAGTGATAGCGGCGTGATGTTGTTGTAGTTATTGGTTTGGTTAACGGAAGGTGTATTGTGGTTGCAGGCGTCGATCGAAGAGAATAAAGAGCTTATTGCGCTCTACCAGCAGTTTCGAGAAGATTCGGCTGTGGAGACTGCGCGACTTCGCACTGAGATCAAGTACGCAGTATTGAACCCTGTATGAGCATATTGCTTCTTTGTTGGTCTAACCGGAATTTCTCATTGGTGCATCTATAGACAACTGCGACTAGCAGCTCAGCAGAATGATCGCACAGAGCTGGCCAAGCAGGAGCAAGAGCGATTGGAGACACGACGGAAAATTGTACGTGCGATTAGTCTAATTGTATCTCCACTCGCGTTGCATAACGGCATATTGTTTTTGTTGGTGACGGTTTTCAGAAGGACAGCAACGCTGCGGTACAAGAGACTCTTGCGCAAATGGTGCAGATGAAGGCCCAGCTGGAGGAAACTCAACTGAAGAACCGCGAGCTTCTTCGACAACTAGCGATCGCGAGGGCTCAAGCTGGACAGCAAGGCCAACGTCAACGCCCAGCGCTCAATGGCAGCAGGGGGACTGATTTACCCTCGCGCTTTTCAAGAGGGAGGTCTCCTGCTTCGCGACAGCAGCGGTCCCCAGCGACAGCAATGACTCGACAGCAACAACCCAGCAGCGCGGGCTTCCCAGCGCCATTTCAATCCTCCTCATCTCACTACGGCCCCTCAGACGATGAAGATGGCGGCGAGAGAACGCCGCGGAGCACTCGACGGGGACGACCCTCGCCTCGACCAGCTTTCCGGCGCTTTGACCCTACAGCCTACCAGCAAGAAAAGGAGCGCAAGCTACGCGAAGGTCGGGCGCGCTCGAACTCGCGCACACGACCGCCACGGTCCAATGGCGGATACTCGTCAGACAGCTCAGTGGGTGGTTACTCCTCAGCTGGCTCCCGAGGCTCTCAAGCTTCGTCGCGCTCTACGCGATCACGCAGTTCACGGCTGTCAAGAGATCGCCAACGCGAGCTTGATGCGCGTCTGGCCTCTCCTAAGCGGGTGATGGAGCCGCCTCCACTCGAGACCCGCCGCCCTCGCGCGTCAAACAATTCGCCGCTTCCTCGATCAGGCCCTCCCGGTGCTCGCTCTCGAAGTCGTGGGCGCTCGCCATCGCCGTCACCATCGCAGAGCAGCGGGATCAGTCGTCAGGCTACTCCTAGGGGCTCTGCAGCGTCTTCACCGCGCAAACCGGTTCAGCAGACACCTCAGAAGAAGCTCAACCAGCTGAATCCCGTGCTACGACGAAGGAAGCAGCCGCCTCAAGCGCTGCTGGACACGTCTGCTGATTCATTCAGCGACATCGATGACCGACTCACAGCTTTGCAGCAATTTCTACGAGAGGCCAAGCAGGGCGGAATAGGAGCTGCGGGGGCCAGCACCGCTGCATGATACCAAGACGATCGCTCACTCACTCACGCACGCTCATGTAAGTACAACAGGCTCATTATTTCGCTTATGCATGGGCATGCAAGTTGGTTTTGAGTTGGTAAGAACAGTTGATAGAACAAGGGGAAGGCTCGGGTGCCCGGAACACGTCACAGAAACGCTGTTGAGCCTCGAGGGCGTGGAACAAGGGGGCGTCGTATCTACAGCCACGCGTTGGGATAGTTGGTGCTCTCGTCGGTCTCGTGGGCGGCTAGTAGGACTGCAGCGGCTGCTGATTGTCGTGGTGTGTACGCCGACGGGCTGGTGCTCGTCGACGACAGGTTGTCAGGGGCTGGCAAGGGCTCGAACGTGGTGCCAGGGAACACGGGACGCAATGCTGGTACAGCCACCGTGGTCGAAGTTGCAGCTGAAGTACAAGCAGGCCCACTCGTGCCCACTCGGCGGCGTTTGTTGGAGTAGTTGGCGGATGCAGCTGGATGCGCGAGGCGAGGGATCCACTGCTCGCCGGTGTACAAGGGCCTCAGCAGGTCGTCTTCGATGGCTGTTGGGCTCGTGTAGTACTCGTCCACGAACACTGGAACACTGCTGCTGTCGTCCTGCAGCAATTGGTCTAGCCTGCTGACACTGTTGGTCTGGAAGGCTGAGCGTGGCGATGGCATCGACGAGGACCGAGACGCTGACGTCGACAAGGTGCTCGGGAATGCCAAAGGGACGAATGTGTTGTTGCGGTCTCCTGCTGGCGGAGATTTCCACTGACGCACTGGAGGCGTGGGGACTCTCGGGACATGCACCTGAAGTGCCGACTGACGGCCGGCACCAGCAGCTACCCGTGGCTGCTGTTGGGGCAGACAACTCTCATCCTTACGGAATGGCCGTTGCTGCTGTTGCTGGTGTTGCTGAGACTTGGAAGGCTGCTGGGACTGGAGAGCGGCGGCGTCTTCGGCGGCCTTGGCGTCGGCTTTGATGGCGGCGCGCGACTGCTTCTGCAGGTACTTCTGCGCATGGGTGCGGATCTGGACCAGCGTGCGCGTGTGCACGAGGCTCGATATCTTCTTCCAGGACTTGCCGAAGCGCTGCAGCCCCTCGAGGAACAGCTCGTGCTCCCTCTTGGTCCAGCGTCCGACCTGCGTGCCGTTTGGGACGTCGTCTCTGGGTGTCACGGCCGCCGTCTTCATGTCGAGGGCGGTCTTCATCCCGGCTCGAGTCACGGACAGCGGGAACGTCACCACCACCGGTGGGGGCGACGAGTGGGTCGCTATCATGGGGAACGAGGCCGGAGGGGGCATCGCGCTCGCTTTACGCTTCTGATTCATTGGCGTCATCTTCATGGGCGGCCATCGCTGGGTCGCGTAGTAGGAGGGCGAGGGGCCGCTGGACGTGGGTGGATAAGTGAGACCGTGGCGAGTCTCACGTGGCTCGGGCAGGTTGGCGGCGATTGAGCCGCCGAACCCATCGGGGAAGCTGAACTCGTAGGGGCCACCGCTGCTTTTACTGCTGCTGCTGGCCAGGTATTCGTCCCACGTGGGGCTTCTAGAAGCTGGCGAGATGAACGGCACCGGGGACGGCGGCGACGGGCCGGGCGAGCGCGTCGGCGACGACATCCGAAGAGCGTGCGCTGGACTGGACTGGAGCGAGGTCAGGGCGTGGGCAGGGCTTTCGCAGACTGGCGAAGCGGAGAAGGGGGTTCTTGAGTTGATGTCTTAGGCGAAACCGCTCAAGATTTAGGCGTAAAGAGCGTGCTGGCGGCGAAAGATATGCAGACTTGGATAAAGTATGCCCCAGCTTGAAGCGAGAGGTCCCACCTGCGCCGCTTGGACAAGTTGTCGTTTCCAGACCAGGCCAAAAGGCTGCCTCGATACGCATGCATGAGGCAAAGCGAAGGAAGGAGAACATATAGTCTAGACACACTAGAGCTGGGTGGCGAGATGCAGCCTCGCATCAAGCGTTTTGTTCGATGTGAGACGTAACGGATTTGCGCGACTTTGCTGCTCGCAACACGCTGTCGGGTGTGCCTCAACTACAGTATAAGCACAAGTTAGGATCGTAGTTTGACTACGCCGACACCGACCGTGAAATATATGGTTGTCGAGGTCTCAATTGGTAACTACGTTTACACTACTTCATTTTAGTCTCAGTACAGTCGTGTCACCACTGGGTGACTCACCAGGACCCCACCAAAATGCCTGGCAATGGTCGCCATCGGCATGGCGGGTGAGCTCAAAGCCGATTTGTCCTTCGTCTCGTTCAGGTAACGCTCGACGAAACGTTGGCAGGCAAAGCTGCTTGGACGCAACTTGTTTGGGGCAGCCTAGAGCTCTACTGACTCAGTTAACTAAAAAGAAGGGGTTTGTACATGTAGTCCTCGTCGCTGACGAGGACGGAGGGCGACCTGGACGCACATCCTGAGTCTCCCGAGTGCCAGAGCATTACGCGCTCGCCGCAGTCCCAGCTGCAGCTTGCGGGACGTCGAGCGCTTCAACTTTGAAGCGTCTTTCGCCGTTCGTCGAGCCGTTGTGGTCAACTGCAGCCCCAGCAGTAACTGGGCTGTCAAGGTTGGCCTCGAACCTTACCATTCGGTTCGGAGACTTGACGACCCGAGACTTGACAACCGAAAGATGGAGAGTCGGATGCACCGTCATCTAAAGCCCCTGCTTCACGCACAACTTTCGCCATGTGAGCGAGCAGCGATCCGTCTCCTCCGTACGATAGTAAGTAGCGTGGAGTCAATCGCTTGCTTGTCGCTCTTGCTCTTTTGGTCATCGGGTGCTGTTTGTATCGCCGGTTCCGTGTTGCTGCCGAGTCCACAAACGGCGAGTTCTCGGATATCCGCTGCTGCCGGCGACCGTCGCGACCGGCTCACAAAGCCGGGAGATCGTCTCGCCAAGGTGAACACCCTGTGCTCAACTGGACGGCCGCAGCGATTGCTGATCGCGCCACGCTGCAAGTAATGCCCCCTCCCCGGCACCGGTGCAAGCAAGTCCCGCATTGTATTGCACCATTACTGGCACCATGGTGATCGCTCGCTGCAGCTCCAGCCCCACGGGCTCCGATAAGCAAGCACGCGTTCGTCGCACCTTTCGCCACTCGGGTTCCCCACTTCCAGCCGCTGCAGTTGACATACATCTTGTCGTCGCCTCGCCCGAGCACTAACCAGGACCGAAAAATTTCTAGGACACGTGTGTGGACCAATTTGCATCAGGTGCGAGGCATCCAGCGCGGTGGTGAACATCGCGCGGCCGTCGAGACGAGACCGACATGCCATGACACCCCTGCAACTCGTCTATATCTCGAGGCCATCAAGCAACGACTGCAACCAACCCACGCTAGGACCCAGCAAAGTGTGGCATCGGCAGTCTGTCCGATCGTACAGCAAGAGCTTGTTGCCAAGAAGACACGCAGGATCTGACTTATTCTGACATTTGCCAGATTCCACACAGCTCGCTTGGTATCCGCTACACTACAGCTTCCTCGACCTTTAGAGACCATGCCGGCCCCCGCTACTCGTCGCAACACCAACCGCACGCGTTGCCGGCTCGCCGACTGCAACAAGTTCGCGCAGACGCGTGGACTGTGCAAGGCACACGGCGGTGGCTCGCGCTGCCGTCATCCGGACTGCCACAAGCTCGCGCAGAGTCGCGGCCTGTGCATCGCCCACGGAGGCGGCCGCCGCTGCACCGTTGAGAACTGCAACAAGCTCGCGCAGTCGAAGGGCCACTGCATCTCTCACGGTGGCGGCCGCCGTTGTGCCATCCCTCACTGCGATAAGTTCTCGCAAGTCCGAGGATACTGCAAGGCCCACGCCAAGGTGCTGATGGTCTTCAGGGCCCCCTCGTCCCCCACCTGCGCTGCACTCTTGACGCCGCCAGCGTCTGCCATGGCCAGCCCCAACGTCGCCATGTCCCCGGTCAAGTCGAAGCACTCCATCGACTTCCTAGTGAACCCTCCGCCGCCCAGCGAGTTGCCGGCGATGGCGAGCGCTCCGTTCATCCCCGCGTCGCCATTTCTCTCAGCACCGGCCGTTCAACTCCCCAAGCTTCAGACGAGCGAGGGGCTCATCAAGCAACGCTCGTTGCTATCGTTCCTCAACCCTCCGACCTCCAGTACCCCCGCTGCAGTACTACCGCAGTTGAAGGTGCCACCGATGACCTTCAGACCGCAGGCGCTGTACCGCTAAAAACTTGCATAACCAATAGACCCCACGAACACCTAGATACTATTTAACAAAAATACGAACACCTTGCTTGACTCCATCTTTATGGACTTTTCTAAAGCTATGGGGCTCTTTGGACGACTGCAGCGGCCAGTTTGAAGGAAGACACATCGTTCAGGATGCTGACTGGCGCAATACGTGCCCAAACATCCCTGTATCCTCCGAGTGTCGGCTAAGAAAACTGGAGGTATGATCCACAACGAATACTAGTTGGCAAGGCTGCAAGTCAAGGCAATGGCGCTAGAAGATGTACATGAATTATACAAGCTCACTCCCGAAACAGATACTTATAGTAACCCAGGGTACTGCAGCGGCTGGCGGAGCTCTCTAGCAAACACCGTCTTATCGAGCCTGCTGCATGGTCCTCGAAGTAATAATGCGTAGTAAAATACCCACCCGAAGTATCCTTGGTGGCGCAACGTTTTTTCGGAGACGCTTTACAGGCAAATCCGCAGCACGTTCCGCTCTTTCGCGCTGCCATTTTCGGTGCTGCTACAGTGTGGATAATGCGTCATGTGGCGGCGTAAAGGGTCATTTTCCAGGCTGAGATAGACCTTATCTCCATCCTCCACGTACTTCTCATCTGTCTTGCGAACTTTTTTGGCTAAGCTTAGCTACGCGTGATGATCGTCCGAGTCACTGGGCGACTTCACGACAGCGAGCTGTTATGGGCTCCAAGAGAGAGAGAGAGGCAAACACTGCATCGTTGGGCCTGTACTGTAGTCGTTGGTTTGGCTAGCGATTACACGCACAGTGTACTGTAGCACCCACTGGAAGGCCATCTATCACTGGTAATGAAGCGCAAATTCGAGCGCGACGTCGAAGCTACTGTACAGGCGACGCATATAGAGCCAACATCTCATGGCCTTCTTCGCGAGGCTGTCCAAAGCAGCAGCCCACAGCCCACATGGCGTCCACGCTTCAGCCTGCGAGCTCACAACGAACGGCAAGGAATATGCGCCGACGGATGCCGCAGTGAGCTTCGGTGTGTGGACGAAAGTGAGAGAGATGGCGAGGATGTGGAGCGAGGGCGCCTCTACTGCACACGACACACACATCGACACACGGGAGAGATCAGCACACCTGCGTCGTGGCTCAGCGACTTTGGTGGCCTCACAGACGCCCACCGGGCACGTGGTTCCCCCGCCAGCACCTGCAGCGATGATGTTAGGCCTGGCTGGTGGGGTAAACCACCCACCGCATGGACCACAACACGCATACGCTTGGTTGTGGCTCCCGACCAGGCCCTCGGCTGCGACGGAGCGGATGTAGTAAGTCTCAGCGCGACATGGTCAAGATGGTCTCCAACGCCTGAAGTCCATGGGGACAACGGCAAAGGCGAGGGTTGTACGCCAGCCGAACCCCAATCGTCGGATCGAACGTACACGTTGCGCTTGCGCTTGCCTGGTTCAAAGAGCAGAGACCGAGCCAGCCGTAGGTTCACCGGCCGCTCTTGGGGATTGTCCGCCTTCGTCGCGAGTGGACGCAAACAAAATTCTCAACCAAGACGTCGGTCAGTCTTCACTCCGGCATTTGCCAGCTCCCGCACAGTACAGACAGACCCCATTCAATCAATCCTCCCAATGCCGACATCAAGCACTCGTCGCAACGCCAACCGCGCGCGGTGCCGCATGCCCGACTGCGGCAAGTTCGCGCAGACCCGCGGACTGTGCAAGGCGCACGGCGGAGGCTCCCGCTGTCGCGACCCGAGCTGCCAGAAGCTGGCTCAGAGCCGCGGCCTCTGCATCGCACATGGCGGCGGCCGCCGATGCGCCTTCGACGGCTGCTCCAAGCTGGCCCAGTCCAAGAGGTTCTGCATCTCGCACGGCGGAGGCCGCCGCTGCCACGTTGCCAAGTGCGACAAGTTCGCGCAGGTCAGGGGCCACTGCAAGTCTCACTCCAAGCTGCTGTCGTCGAGCGACGAAGCTTCGTGGTCTCCGTCCTCCTCCTTCTCGACCCAGTCGAGCCCCACCAGCTCCAGCCTGTCGCCCTCCAAGTCCAAGCTCTCCATTGACTTCCTCGTGAACCCGAGCAGCTCCATGACTTCAGACCACAAGCAGACAGCGTTGCCCAGTCTTCGCATGGCGGGCTCGACGCTGCCGCACCAGCGCCCGCTGCTCTCGTACCTCGACCCCATGAAGACGCTCGCATCCACGGCGTCGGCGCTCTGCGAACGCCCCACGATGGCGATGTCAGCCCACTACCCTTCGTTTGTGATGTACAGGTGAACGGGAGTACAGTCCTAATTTTTAATTTATCCATAGAGTTCACACTTTCATCAATACATTTGCACACATGCGCAAGACACATGTGTGCGACCGTCAGCAAGAGCTTCACATGACTGTCAAGCTCCAGGACACGGCACATCCTTGACATGGAGCGCCTCGCCAGCACCTCCGATTGGATTGCAGGCGCCTAGCTGTGCTCGTTGCGATGGCGCGTCCTTCCGATCCTGAAGCTAATCGTGCAACGTCTGCACCGAAATGAACCTCGTCTTCGTATCCATGAAGCATGGGTCGATTGCGCCTAATTGGGACTTTTTGCAAAAAGTCCGCCTAATTGACGCCGCTGCAGCGGCGACCACTGTCCGGGAAGTCATGTAACTTTGGGTAGAGACTTTTGATCAGGCCTGTAACTTTGTGTAGAGACTTCTGATCAGGCCTCGCCGCCGCAGAAGGCATCCCGGATGCCGCATCCCACACGTGGTGCGTCCTTATCGTCCACCTGGCACCTTTCCATCCGCCGACGCTGTTGAAGCAAGCGCGACCACATGAGCAAGCTGCAGCATTTGCAGCTCCTCGATTGGACGGCGGCGCCAAAGCGAGGTGAGACTTGATATGACAGCGGCGCGATTTCATAATCGACGCCTCGGCTATGGCGATGTCCATCGCCTAGCCGACCGGCGCGCGTCGTCACGAGGATGTTGCTGGGAACGGCGGCAACCAAACAGACGGTGGATCACCGAGCTGCGGTGCGGTGCGGCTGAACCAGCCCCAGTTCATGAACATTTATTTGACCGAGGAAAAGTTCGCATTGGCACGTACAGTACCAGGGTACAGTGCACTGTACTGTAGGGCCCCAAACTCTTGTCAGCTTTGGCATAAGCTCTGATTCATGGGATAGAAGTTGGTAAAATTGATGCTGACTTGCTCGATTCCCGTGCAAACCCAGGGCATCATTGCAAGCGTGACGAAGCTGCGGGAGGCTTTCGGTTGCTGTTGGGGGAGGTGACTCAGGTGTGTGCTTCACCATTGTTGGAAGTACACTGTAGCCGTTAATGATGGGACGTCTGCAAACTGCCTTCTTCCTCTCACCTTTGCAAGCCTCACGGCTCTCTATGATCCATAGAGCCCCGTCCTCGAAACTTTGGCGCGTCGCTGGAATTCCTCGACACCAAAACCCTCCTTGGAACCGCGCTCGTCGTAAAATATTGAGCATCGGATCGGGAGGACACGCTGTACATGTACTGTACCTCGATGCGGTCGGGCGGGCGGGTCCTCAAAACCAACATGCACATGCGCGAGGTCGGTTGCCAAGGCTGCGCGTTTGACCTCCAGCGATGCGTGCCAGCGCGCTGCAGCAGCCACTCGCTGACTTCGCACTAGTTGAAGTTGCCTCGACAACAGCAGACGCGTTCGATTCTTCGTTAGCTGCTGCGTGCAGTGGCCGTTCGTCCTTGTCTGTCTCTCGGGAAAACGACAAAAGGTGTATGCGTTGGGAAAACGTTTGTCAATAGGTGTAGTGGTCGTGGGCGTCACGTCGCGTCATGTCTCATCATACACGTACTGACACACGTTTTGGTTGCCGCGGTATTTCGGCCGAGGTCGGGTCATACAGACCCAGGATCGAGCTTCCAAGCACAGTAGTTTATTAACGACACGCTCGTCCGGTTCGTGGTGCCCATGACTTTGATAGCGAATTGTACGACTGAGGGACTACAATGAACGTCGTTATCCATTGTAGGCAGGCCTCAGCGTTGCCACAGTTCTACAATACCTACACTCTCCCCCGGTTGGGGGCTCTCACTAGAGCTCCTTCACCTCCGAAATTCAGATGCAAAACCTACCTAGTACAGCCATGCTATAGACGCTTGCGGTTTGCGTTGGTAGTTCCTTGTAGCCACAATAGCGAAGTTGTCGAGTACAGTTGCTCTATATGCTATTATTAGTTGACCGTGTTCGCTGCTGGTTGCATCAGGTAGAAGCCTTCCTAACCCCGGGTTTTATGGATTTGGATCTAAGCCCACACACCAGTCACCGCATTCGTTGCTGATGCAGCTTTATGATGCACCTTAGTGCGCTTGGAACCACATACTGTCATACCGACAACCTAGCATACACCTAATGACACGAGTTAACCGCTTTTGACAAAACGTTTCAAATTCATACACCTTTTGACGTTTTCCCCTGTCTCTGATTCCCAGCGGCACCGTGTGTACAAGTTCATGCGCGCCGGTCAGTCTCAGGTGATACATCCCCGCGGTACAGCGTCGATGCAGGTGCAGTGTCACTTGGTCGCCCATGTTCCGCGATTCACCGGATCCAATCCAAAAGCCAAAAGCGACTTACAGACCGCAGCATCTCTGGGCGGAGCCGATCCCGAGAGCATTTTTTCGAGCAAGTCGCTGCCAAATGTGTGTGTGTGCGCCCTGACTGCATCAACAAATGAAAGTCCTCTCGGGGTCCGTGTACGGACTCCGTACATTACAGTATCGGTGGGCTATCCGAAGGGAAGTTTGCCGGTCCACCTCGTCACCTCGGAAGCTGGCACGACTTCCGATCTTTCGCTATGGAGATGGACTGCGGCCCAGGCTCAGGCTGCTCGCTTTGAAGCATTTGAAGCATGAAGAACTGCAGCCTGCAACTGCAAAACGACATCCGGTTCATCCGTAGCGGGAGCCGGAGTGGCTGAGGGGTCTGGCCCAGACCCCTCCCTTGCAGTCGCCATTGCAACTTGCACTCCGGGCCTCAGTTCGGTGGGGAATTGTCATCATGCATTGCGTGCTCGACGCGACGGCTGCACCAAGTTTCTCCCCGCGACCGTCATCGGCCAGGCGAGGTGAAGAACCAGCGTGTTGGACCTCCGTTTTTCTCGGTGAGGCAGCAACGGCTGGAGGGAAAGCCTCCGTGCGCTCGCTTGGAGCTTGCAGCAACATGTGCAAACGCAAATTGTGCTCCTCCGGCTGGAAGCAGTTCGTGGACAGCCCTGCGCCATTTGGTTCTCTAGCTTACTGCACTGGCATCGCTGGGTGTAATATTGCCCCACATGGTGGCACTCGGGGAATACTTAAGTAAGGAACATGTCAAAACCGAACTGATCGTGTAAAAAATTGTTAACTCCAACACCTGCTTAAGAAATTATTTGCTTTTAGTGAGGCCAAAGTCACGCTGCAGCACGCCAGCATTACACTCTGTGCGGCAGGCGCACACGGTGGCGAGAGCTGGGCGAGGAGGCGGTGAACTTCACAAGATGAAGCAGAAACTTTAGAGTGAGTCAAACAATCGCCCAGCCGCTGGTTCTGTACCTGTAAAAAAAATAAAGATGGCAATTTTTGTGCACATTTTGAGCGTTTGTACCGTGCCTCGTGCGCTTGTTGCGCATAACGCCCGAAGCTCGGTCGTGAGCTCCGCTCGTCACGTGTAAGCGGACTTGAATTTGCAGTTTTTACAGCACCAACATCAATTCGTGTGTCCTACCAGTAACAATTGACATTTTTGGTCAAAATGAGTTGCTTGGTCCTTGGGGTGAGGTCGCGACCAGCAGAGCTCTATGGTTCCCGACGGCCAGGTGGGGAGAGATAGATAGAGAGAGTACTGTACAAGGCTGCATTAACCTCTGAAGTACACGTGGCCAGGTGTCCCCACGTGAGGACCGGGAGTCGTGGCTCGCGGCTTGCGGCTCGCGTCTCAAGCTGAGACGCGAGCACTGCCAAGACCCCCGAGGCAGATGAAGCGGCGGCAACAGGTACCGCAGTGGTCAGAAGCCTCCGCTTCGATGAGTTGCGAAGACATGCAGGCGGATAAGGCGCCCTTGGCAGACGGAGACCAGATCCCAACGCTTTGAGTCGGGACCTACCAAAGACGCGGCGATTACTTGCCATACGGGATGCCCCACCCGCGAACATTGAACCAAGCACCAGCTGACAAAGCTCGCAGCTCACCCCTGAGAGGGACTGCAACGCGCCAAGCGGGCTCTGTCTGCTGCAGACGCAGCACGTTGGGTTCGCGACCGCACTGAGGGTCCCACCGCTTCAGCGTTCTAATTAAGGCTGGTACTGTTGATCCCAGGCATAAATATTCATATTTGTTGAAATTCGGTGGAGCAAAGTGCTCGGATCGACGAGCAGATGAAGTTCGCCAGCGTGTTGATGTGTTGATGGCATTTGCCTCGTCGCTGGTGTAGCCACCTTCCCATCCGAGTTTCGTGCCGCAAGGTCGGAAGATCGTGTTTCTGCCCGAGTGCGAACCCCCAGCGAGCCGGCGAATCCCCGTCACGCTGCCCGCAGCCTGCTCAGCTTGCGTTCTGCCTCTCTGCCTGGTGAGACCTGTCTTGGTGAGACGACAGAAGACAGAAAGATGAGCCGCTGCGAGGATAAAAGAACCCCCCGAGCTGGCTGGGAACGGATACCTGGCTGGCCGCCGCCACGGCGGAAATGCGGAAATGCGACCATCACAGCACAGTCGCCGCATTTCTGCATTATTTTTTGAAGGGGCTGCACGACAAGGTGCAAGCTTTCGCGTTGGGTGTTTTCATGCGCAAGGCCTGCATTCACCTCGCAGAAGTGAATAATACTGTACATGTGTCAAGAAATGCTCGGACCGCAGCAGATCGCAGGAAATAGGAACATGTCCACGCGCGGCGAAAGGAGCCCAGCATTTTGTGTGTGTAGTCGAGATGAACACCAACTTCACATATCCTACTATCCAAATGCTCCCGGTTTGTTAGTTTTCATCACCTCTTGGATCCAAAGGATCCGTCGATACTGTTGCGAACGAAAGTATGTAAGTCATTCTACAGGATACCTACATGTACATATCACCTGCATTTATAGACCGCAGCTGCGATCTCCGGTAAAAGTGGCACGGCACCACCGCTTACTTGTTTGCGCTTCTCGGAGCAAGTCAACCGACCGACTGGTTGCAGTTTTGACACGAAAGTCAATTCCCTCGACTCGAACGCACTTCCCGCTAGGGAGAGGCCGTCAACGTTTTGCCGAGCCGTACGCCACCAAGCTCTCTTATCTTTTCTGCCGGCGAATGCCTGTAAACTCCCGATTCGCTTTGGCAGATGGAGACCCCCCTCATACATAAGAGCCCCTTGGAAGTAAGATGCCATAACTCGTCCGCTTGTCACCTCGGGGGCTAGCTCTGTTCGACCCAGCTGGCCCAGCAAATATGGCTGGTAGGGCTCAAAGGCTGAGCACGCTCGCCTATCTCGGGTCTCTGTCTCTCTCGCGACCAACAAGCAGACCATCAGGAATCCGACCTGTACCTCTCGAGCAAAGCCTCGCGTGGTACGGACAGTCCGATCGAAAGGCAAGCGTAGCAGGGCTGCAGTCGCGCGTGCTGTGGCAACCGGGAACAAGCTGTTTTCGGCTCTCTGCTTCTTCATCTCGTTCGGGTCGATCGCTCACTTTACTTTTCACCGCCAACCGCGAACACCGGCACCCGAGCGCTTCACTGCTAGAGCAGCAGTGATCGTGTCCGCCACATCTTTTCCATCTACACCCGCCAGTAGCACTCAATCTACCATGCCGACGCCTAGCGCTCGCCGCAATGCCAACCGTGCTCGGTGCCAGTTCGCTGGTTGTGACAAGTTCGCGCAGACCCGGGGTCTGTGCAAGGCCCACGGCGGCGGCTCTCGCTGCCGGGACCCGCAGTGCAACAAGCTCGCTCAGAGTCGCGGCTTGTGCATCGCGCACGGCGGTGGTCGTCGCTGCCAGTTCGACGGCTGCAAGAAGCTGGCCCAGTCCAAGGGCTACTGCATCTCGCACGGCGGGGGCCGTCGCTGCACCATCCCCAACTGCGAGAAGTTCTCGCAGGTCAAGGGCCGCTGCAAGTCTCACTCCAAGCTGCTGACAACCGTCCCGGGATCGTACACTGCACCACCACACGGCGTCGTGACCCCGCTCAGCTCGACCGGCAAGTCCGCGATCTCCCCCGCCAGCACCAAGCTCTCCATCGACTTCCTCGTGAACCCGCTGTCGCGCAGCTCGTCCATTGGCGACAAGGTGCCAATTCAGCAGCAGCAGATGCCGGTGCCAGCGCTGCGCCCCATCACGCAGCTCGCCAACCCGTTCACGTCCGCGGGCATGGGCTGCAACCCGCGCTTCGATTCGCAGGTGCTGGGCAACCAGCGCTCGCTGCTGTCGTTCCTCGAGCCCCACGGATCCGTTCCGTCGTACCCGGCGCCACGACCGCAATACGCGGCTGTGCCGGGCCACTACCAGGCACCCCTGCTGCCGTCGCTTGCACTGTACCGCTAAGCGATAGCCCCCGGGGTGGATTGAATAGTGTCATTGTGAGTAGTTGAGGGTATTACATGTCGATAGAGAATGGCCCACGCCGCAACCACAACGTGGCAGTATAGAGTTGGTGCCGAATATTTAACCCTTAAGTGTACACTACTTTTCCAAACACTGCATTTGCTTTGCTATTCAACGTGTCAAGCGCGGGTAAATCTGTAGCAGCGCGTTTACTGCGGGTGACATTGGCATCATCTTGCTGCGGAGCGCTGGGCAAGGTGTTGAAGCTAGCCATCATCAGAATATCGTTGCTCGCGCACGCGGCAGTCGAAGCACCAACGGAAGCGCCTGCACCGTACAGGTCACCATGTACGGTAGAGTTTGCCCCCGCGGGGAGTGCTTCAAAGCTGCTGGCTCTGGGGCGGGAAGCTTCATCCGGATGTCCTGTAAGTTCACGGCCAAGTGTACATGTATTTGTCAACACCCCTCGTTAATAATCAAGAAGACTGCACCGAGTGCAATTCACTCGTCCGCTTGAGCCAAGGTCGGCAACGCTTCCCATCTTGAAATGGTGCACGGATTCACCTGCCGCCCATCGTCAAACCCGCTCGACACCGTCGTAAGCTGGGGTCTGACTGCATGCATGGGGACGCGCGTCGATTAACTGCGACGGAGCGCACTCGAGAGCTCTTGAGCTGGCCAAATGGTTGGTCCCCGAATCATTATTGACTCGGAGACACCAGGCCAGTAAGCCCTACAGTCTGCAGGCTGCACAGTGTAGCAACAGCATTTTGATGCTGGAATAAGCTTACCGAATTTGTTTTGTAGAGGGATACATACACCCACCTATGGGATACAGGATAGTATTAGTCAATCACAATTGTGTCTTCAGATTTACAGGGCTTGACTTGTTGAGGGATACACCAGTTTCAAGCCAGTAATTTTTGCACTCTCGGCCGCTCAGCGCGCGATCATTTCTGTAATGGCGTGGGCGCCACCAAGTCACCCTCGCATGCCTGGAGGTCAAGGGAGGTGGAAAACGCGCGGGCCCTACCATTTGACACTGCTGCAATGAAGAAGGCTGTTGTCGAGCACCTGAGACTAAACTGCAATGTTCGTTTCACTGTACATACGTTCTTTCCGGGTCTACCTACAGAGAAGTATCAAGGGAGAAGAGTGTTGGCGTTAAGATGGGCTCGTCGTTTAGCTCTATAGCTGCTGGGGATGCTTCTGTCGGCGGCAGGAACAAACGCAAAGCTCGCTCTACTGAGCTTCGATCTTAAGTTGCGGTGGTGGCGGCGAACGAGCTAATGAGTTGGGCTGTGTCGCCTTGAGAGACTTGAGGTAGAGTGCTCAGTTTAGTAATTTTGATAAATACATCTGGGTGTCCGTGCCGAATCGTTTTTTGAGGAAAATCGGGCGTCTGGTATTTTAGCTCCGGTAGGGTGTATCCCTCTACAAAACAAATTCGGTAATGCATGTGATTCCACGATGACGCGCGCAAGCACAATCGCAAGTTGGTGGACGCAGATCAGCCCGCCGTTGCAGGGCCATCCATGCCCAGACCAGGAGCGCGCGAAGAAGTTCTGCTGATACCGCAAGACTGTAGCGCTAAGTGTGTTTTGCGGTATCACGAACTGTGTGAGTTGTATGGTTATCTATGTGTCTCAATGCGGGTTAGGGTTACCAGCCGGAGGAGGGGGCAGGTGAAAGCGATTTCCAGGATTTCACAAATTCGCCCCTACCGAACCTGGGTCCCCCTTAACTATAGCCAAGCCTGGGTTCATCGTAGAGCTAGCCTTGCCGTTTAGTTTTCCAACGAGCCCAACTTCACTTAATGATATTTCGTGCAACCTTCAGGCCGTTCCGTTTCCTAGAGCACTCGTGGAATTTTGGAGATTTGGCGTGGGTTACCTCCGTCCCCGCCCAGCTGCTAGACCGGGCCAAAGTATGGCCATGATAAAAAACACGATTTGCATTGGGGTGTTTTTTTGCCGAGCGAGACTGGGTTGAAATCAAACACGTTCGGGGAAAAATCAAACACTTATGGGGCACGATCAAACACAAAAAGACTTGTTCAAAACCAGACTGCATGATTGTCGAAAATCAAACACTATTCGGACCGAATCAAAACAAGTTTGATGGTAGTGTGGTCCACTGTATATTAGGCTTCTCCTAAAATACAGTGATCACACATTAAAATGAAAGGCCAGGAGTGATCAACTTGCGCAGAAGTCGAGAAGAGCAGACGAGACTATAAGTTGTCCACCGCTGTCCGCCAACTGCGCTACAAGAACGCTGAAAGACACGAGACGCGCGACGAGAGAACTATGTGGGAAATCGTCGCTTCCGGGCAGAAAAGTGAAAGCTACGTAAAAGAGCGACTCGAGAGAATGTGCTGCTCCAGTGCCTACGTCAAGCGTGTTAAGGAGACGGGCCAAATCTGCCCAGGTGACCACGAAATGGATGAAAGACGCATACGGTGCTCAAGTGTTACATGCATCGCGTTAGCCGTGCCCAAGGGGAACAAGAAGCCCATGTGCGTGAAAGTATGGAAGGTGTGACAGTGCCCAAGCACAAATGCATGGAGAATCCTTGGTACAGCAGTTGAGCATTGTGGTGTGGTAATACCACTTAAATTCTCTTCTACCAAAAGGTATTAGAGACACCAACAACACGCTAACCCGCAAAGGTAAGCGCTTATTGGATCAAAACCTGAAGACCAGGAACGATCCCTTACACCGGGTCGGTTGCAAGCGCCTCTGTGCACCTTAGGTTATCTTCGGTCAACCCAAAAATCTGTACCACTAGCCACGAGCTAAGGCTAGGATACTATGTAGCGCTTTCGCGCAACCCCACTGCAGTCCCTCAGAAAGGAAGGGTACCGGCGTGTTAGGCCTTATACAGGGGGACCAAGGTAAAACCTCGGTAGGTAGACTAATACACTCAGGGACACTCTAATCCCACAAATATATACTGAACGATACTCTAATACCGTTCCTGCCTCTCCGGCCACGCCAACTCTTGGCGCTGCCAAGGAAACTCTCGGTCAATGCACGATAAGCTCCCCGACAGGCATCCACACGCAGCCGAGCGTGTCCAGGCACTACAATAAGCTAGCTACACTTACCGAAGTCGGACTTGACCCTTGTTCGCTTTGGGGGAAGACTGTCTTTTTATTACTGAGTTTTTTTAGGCCCTGGGGGCCTCGTTCTGGCCATCCTATGATGAGTCCTATGTCCCTATACAAATATCTAGTGTGAACGATCGCAATAAGGCGATTCCGGACACATCAAATGACGACCGCGTCTACACTAATAAGTGCGGCCGAAGTACGTAACTAAATGCATCTGTACCTAAAAGTGGGTACCATGAAGCCTCGTTCGGGGTTCTATTAGGACCCGACGAGGCTTCGGCCACTGCCTGTCACTCTACCGAGGATAATGTCATCATCCAATCAGCAGCAGCCATCTCCGTCTCTCGCTTGACCTCGCCTTGATCGCCCCTTGATTGAACTTGATTGTCGGGCTGGCGGGTCAACAGCGTTGGAAACTGCCACTTTCCAATACCACAAGCGCATCAAAGCTGCTCGTGGTATGCGGAAAACAGTGGTAGCTGGCTACCTAGACGAGTGTATGTGGCGCACGTGGTACTTCGCGGAGAAACCTGCAAAGAGTCACATTTTCCAAGGGCTAGTTACTGGTATTAGGAAGTACTACGAGGTCTAGTTAAATCAATACAAACTGGGATGAAAAGTTCTGAAATTTGAAATTTTGAAATGCGGGGCGCCTTTGGGTCAGTGCCCCAATACCTAGAATTATACGAGCTCCAACCAGGAACCACAGCGTGGCACTGCCGTCACCACCGTACGCCACGGTGCACAGAATGCTGCCGACGATCAGCAGTACACACGTAGCGGTCATGTTCACTCGACGTCCGAAGATGTCCCCCAAGACGCCGAACAGCAGCTGGCCGATGACAGCGCCGATGATAGCAGCGGCGGACACCCATGACTTGACGTACGACGTGTACACGTGCTTGCCGTACTGCTCGGTGAGCACGACGTTGATGATGTTCATGACGAAGAGGTCGTAGGCATCGTTGAAGAAGCCGAGGCCTCGCACCAGGTACTTGTTCATGCTTGAGTGACTTGGTCGCTTGGGTTGTGGAGAGACGCGCTGGAGCTGGCAAAAAGCGGAATGAGCCGATGGATCCAATGCGCATTGGTCGGCAAGCCGACAGACAGATCGCGCCAGACTCAGGACACCCTGAGCAGGGCTCCGATCACGGTGCAAGGTTGTATGGATTAAAGTAAGCGCTTAATTTGGGTTCCTGTCGGTATCGATCACGATTTGAGATGATGCCTCACCTGCCCCCTGTCAGTTCGGAGGAGTCAACATTCGAGCTCCGGATGTCCGTAGCCACTGCGCTGCCAGCAAAAGCATAGTCGTCGCACTGGGCTTGCAGTATATTGATGCTCAACCATGTACAGTAATAATGCTGCAGTCCCCTAAAGTCGGTTAAGGATATTTTCTGAACCATACGATTAATTGATGCACAACCTGCTCAAACTTTGCCCTTGCTGTCCAACATATATTGCATCGATTTCGCAACGACTTGTAGATGAATCACGGGCAACTCTAGCAGTAAATATATGTGCTCACTATCGGATACCTTCTGCTTTGGTTCCAGTGTTTTCAAGCGCTTAGAATTAACTAGGGCTCCGCGAAAGCTGGGATAGGAGGATTTTGGTATAAAACCCTTTTTATTTTTATTAATTACTTATTAGCTGCGGCCATCTCCTGCGCCTGCTTCGCAGCCGCGGCATCTGCCCGGAATTTTGCCGTAAAACTTTAGATATCAACTGGTAATGCTTCAGAAAATTAAAATTGCGAGATCTGTTTGCAGCTAAATGCTTATCTCTGGTGCTATTTTACAGTCCTTACCTCACTTCGTCCATCAGCTCACGATATGTACTGATTCATACCAGTGTCGTCGGTAGCGCACCGGTTCGATCTGCCCATAAACCTTTTGGAGGACCCAGTGCGGCACCGGAATCGTACCGGTTTCAAGAAAATGTACCAGTTAGATGTCTTGATGTACCACGGATATAATCCGATTTGGTCTGCGATAGCAGCACTAACGTTGCTTCCTATCCCAGTATAAACCTTTTGGAGGGCATAGTGCGGCACCGCGGCCGTACCGGTGTAATGGTTTTCTACCAGTTCAGCTTGCCGGCCCAGTGCGGCACCGGGGTCACACCGGTTTCAGGACAATGTATAATACCAGTTAGGTGTCAAGAGGGGTCACGACGTACCACGGATATAATCCTGTTTGGTCTGCGATAGCAGCACTAACGTTGCTTCCTATCCCAGTATTAGTTAAGCCTAGCGACATCATAGTTTGGCCACGCGAAAACGTAGTACAACATTATTAGAAATAATCTAATTCGATGCTCTTCAATTCGTGAAAACGTTTTGAAACGCAAAAGGTTTTCCGTGTACTTTGACATACATAAGTATCCATTCATAACATGCAAAAAGTACTAGGTACTACTTAGTACTTGTATGAACTTTGAAAAAGAAAAAGAAGCAAACAACACACGAGGATACGGCAAGCAGTAAGCACAATTTCATTGCATAGTGCTCTACGACTAGAATACTAGAGCTGGTACAAACACTAGTTGGTCACTCTCACAACCGTTTTTTAAGACGACACGCTCGGGGTCGTGGCAGACTTGTAGCCAGATTCCTTGTCCAGCTCAGCGCCCTTCGAGGCAAACGAGTCGCGCGTGAACACGTCCTCGCCGTGCAGCTTGCGGTAGAACTCGGCGTCCATCTCCTCGATCGGCACATCGTTGTCGAACACGCAGAACCACGTCAACGGGATCGACACGAAGGCGATGGCGCAGAACGTGTAGAAGGCACCATCATACCCGAAGCTCTCGTTCGACACCCAGATGGAGAAGCCGAACGAACCGATGGCCGCACCAGCCTTGCCACAAGCGGCCGAGATGCCGTGGCACGTCGAACGGATCGGAGTCGGGTACATCTCCGTCGGCAGCACGAACGTCGCCGTGTTGGGGCCGAAGTTGGCGAAGAATAGCGTCAGGCCGTACAGCACGATGAAGAGCACAGTCTGGTCCTGCAGGTCGTCCCAGAAGATGGCCAGGATCAAACAGAGGACGCCCATGAAGAAGAAACCCTGCAGCGCCATCTTCTTGCGGCCCAGACTGTTGATGAAGTAGATGGCCACGTAGTAACCAGGCAAAGCCAAAAGCGCCACGAACGCGTTCATGGTCGTCACCTGCTGGAGCGACGAGTTCTTGACGCCGATAACCGACAAAATACTGGCGGAGAAGAGGTTCTGCGCGTAGTAGATGATGTCGAACAGGAACCACGTGCCGGCCGTACCGAGCAGGCTGACCCAGTAGTGGCGAAGAATGAACGACAACCGAGCCTTCTTCTCAGCACCCACGCGAGTCACAGCAGCCGAACGCTCCTGCATCGCCTTGTACGCTTCGGTCTCCTCAGCGGTGATGCGGTAGTAGCAGATGACGGCAGCAGGGATGCAACCGATAGCGAACAGCAGACGCCACACCGTCTCTAGACGAGAGTCGCTGTTCTCACCCGACTTTCCATCAGCAAGCGCCTCCACAAGCAGGTTACCGAGCAAAGCAGCCACCACCTGACCCACTCCCTGCAGCGAGAACGTAGTGGCAACCCGAGTGTTGCGCTCTGCACTCGACGTCGAGTCTTCAGCAGACGACGAAGCGGCCAGCGGGTATTCACCGCCGATACCAATGCCCAAGATGACACGCGCCACCACCAGGAACCACAGCGTCGCACTGCCATCACCTCCGTACGCAACGGTACACAGAATGCTGCCGACGATCAGCAGCACACACGTAGCGATCATGTTGACCTTGCGACCGAAGACGTCGCCCAAAAAGCCGAACAGCAGCTGGCCGATGACAGCGCCGATGATAGCAGCGGCGGACACCCACGACTTGACGTACGACGTGTACACGTGCTTGCCGTACTGCTCGGTGAGCACGACGTTGATGATGTTCATGACGAAGAGGTCGTAGGCATCGTTGAAGAAGCCGAGGCCTCGCACCAGGTACTTGTTCATGGCTGGCAAACGATTCTTCCGGGTCTGCTACTGAAGCTTGGTCGTCCTGGGGCCCGGCAAATTGTAGAATGAGAACGTGCACACTGCTGATGGGGCCACCTCCACTTTCGCGCTCCCTATCTCATGCTGAGCGCGGCCCTGCTCAATACGGCACCAATACGGTAATGATTATGACCGAAGCTTGGGGTTTCGGGATCGCAATGGCCTAGAATGCGAATCACACGATTTGTCGGGGTGTTCCTGCGAACCACAAATGCAGCTTCTTCATGAAAGCCTGGCGTCGGCAGCCAAAGAGTGAGCAGGCCGTCCTTGAGCGCTCGTCTCCAGCGTCATAACCTTCGTTGCTGCTACTGTACAGGGTGCTGGAAGTAGCGGTAGCGGCACCACCTCCATTACCACTGATCCCACCGAAGCATGCACTTGAGTGGCGAATCTTGACCCCCATTTCTCCCTGAGGCGAGTGACGAATGTACCCCTATAGAATCACCATCCGCGGCCCTGCAGTGTCGCCGGAGGGCATATTTGATGTCGTTGCTACCGTGTTCCTTTATTGGTTGCATAGCAGGTTGAAGGTGCCCGGCTCGGCTTCCACCTGAGCCGGAGCCAGCACCATGTTGCACCTTTTCAGTGTGCGTGTTCACTTACAACGTGACGTCAGCGCAGTTTTTGCGCGCAACCGATTCGAGCCAACACGCAAACGAATCTCCTTCAAACCACCGGTGCAATGTACACGTCCCGACCAGGCTGCTGCAAGTTGAGCGAACACCTCTGTGCTTCCTGCCATGCCGTCTCACTGAGACTCTCAGGAGCGAAAGTTTCGAGCTCAATCTGTTCAAACGGTGCCAGCAGTTTCAACGTCTCCAACCGATACGTAGTAGCTTGAGATGATGGTGATCCCGGCACACCCACAACAATCGAAAAAGTCGAAATAGCCGCCATTTCAACACCTCTTTGTCGGCGTTCTCTATTATCCTTGCGCAACGAATTCATGCCACGGTTATCGCCAAGCGTCGAGGTCCGCGCACATGATAATGGTGATAAGGTTGAGTTTTCCGTCCGTGTACGCAGCCAAAAGCCCAGGTCCAACTCGCTTGAATGGCGTCGCGCCGGCCAGCGACGAGCAGCTCCCAAGCCCATGAAAAAAATGTCTGGTGCGACGGTGCCAAATCAAAGTAGCACTCCTTGCCGTAACTTAGTCAAAAACGCACGAGTCCGCGCGCATTCTAAGCAAACGGGTTCCACCACGTGCCCGAGCGCTCGTCTATCCAGCCCGCCATCACATCGTAGAGCTCCGTCCGCTGCGTTAGTAGCATTGCCTCCAGTGGAGTGATCTCCATCGTCGTTACGTCAAACGGGCAAGTCTGCAGCAGTTTTTGCTCCGTGAAGGAGCCAGGGTACAGCTCTGCAGGTCGAGCTGCTGTGCGGTACAGACGACGAGACCCTTGACCCCACTCTAAAATGTTGTCGCTGTTCATGTACAGCGGCTCGACGTCCGCTTCCGGGCCCTTGGCGGGGTTTGTTTGCACAGGATAGTGCTGCAACGCGTCACCACACAGCACCCCATCATTTTGTCGGCCAGCAGTCAGCAGTTCCCAGCCCACAGTACCAACCGCAAAGTCCGAGAAGGAGTACGCAGTCTCACCAAGTTCACACGCCAGCCACCAAGCCTCTTTATCTCCATAAGACGGGGGCACGGGTAGTCCATTGAGCGACACGAACGACGCCAAAATGGCCGTTGCCCGAGGCTGGCGTACCTTGTCCCACAGCACCAGCGACGAGTCCATTTGGTGGCCACTCCGCAAGCTCCAGACGTGCGAGTTGAGCAAGAAGGTACTTGGCTGGTAGCCGAAATCCAGCCCCAGCATCCGTCTAGGACGTTGCAGCCTCGGTTCACTGCTGTCCACCACACCAAACCGTCGGTACGGGGTGACGTCGAACCCCGCCAGGAACCGGTGCATTGCTCCAACGTTGATCTCCACGTGGCCGTCACTGTCCGGCGCTCTCGCCGCCAAGTACGACAACTCGTAGCTGATCCGGTCGTTGAAGAAGAGCGTGCCCGTCTCCTGGTATTTGCGCGTCTCCCACAGCGACATGGGGCTCTGGAAGAAGAGCGTGTCGGCGTCCAGCAGCATCACCTCCTGGAACCGCGAGTACACCACCGCCAGCACCTTGATATCGAAGCTGCGGAACTTGTGGTGGCAGTGCCCCAGGTCCACGCAGAAGAGCGGACGGCGGCCGCTCTCGTCCTGCAGCGCCGCCTCTGCTGCCATCTCACACACGTCGTACAATCTGACCAGCGGGTCTCGCTCCCGCACTGCAGTCTGCAGTTCAAGGCTCAGGTCTCCGCAGTGCGGGACCTCCACGGGCAGCGTCACCTGCTGATGGCGCAGCTGCAGCAGCAGAGAGAGCCCCAGCACTGCGATGTCGTCGAACAACGGCAGCACGAGGCCGCGCGGAGTGTCGGGGTCGAAGCGCTGCGTCTCGCGCCACAGGCGGTCGGTGAAGGCCTCGACCTGTGCGGGAGGCAGGGTGTCCACGGTCCATGCGAGGCGGCGACGGTACTCCAGCAATGACTGGGTCACTCGCAGCACGGCGAAGAGGGAGAGCAGCGCGAGGACGGTAATGGTGGCGTGGCGGTTGCGGCGCGAGAGCAGCCACACGCGCCACCGCGTGCTCCAGCGCCGCCAGCGGTGTCGCCGATCGCGATCCCAGTGCTCGCCGAGCATTGGCAAGTATTATTTTTCGTATATGGGATACATTACTTTTTAAAATATTAATACTTGTTTTTTAACGACCTGATTCTGCGTCAAAAACACCGGAAAATGCTGATTTGTGGGGTCACTCAAAAATTACAGATGATAAGGATAAAGCAAAGGAGGTAATTAGACTTCTTTCACCAGCGCAACCCCAAAACAACCCCATGCAAAAATATTTTAGCCAATCAAATTTTGAATCTACGAAAATATAATATCAGCTAGTAAGCACACGACGATTGGTCGCTGCACCATCAACCGAAATGACCAGGGCTCCCCACGGCAGCGCGGCGAAGAAGCTGTGCGAGAAGTGTGGCAACGGGATATCGCGCACGAACTTTTCCAAGCACGCAAAGAAATGTAAGGGAATTAAAGTGCGCGACACCCGGCGCGAGATTCGCAAGCGCTCATGGGTCAAGCACCGCGCCAAGCGCGTAGGAGACCAGCGCAGCCGGCGCGCGTCCGAGTCATTTCAACGACTTGAGGGTACCGTAAGTTTCTTTAATTTAATGTGGAGGGCCCAAGCTTACCATTGTATCCGAAGCGCTTCGGCAGCAGCTCCGCAAGGTGGAAAGGGTGCCTCTTCCTTTTAAACCCGAGCCAGTGGGGGGCTAATAAAGCACCCTCTGGAGGAACTAAGCCGCAATGCAGATTTGTTCGAGTAGATTTTCTCCCAGGTAGGCAACAAGCATTGTCCATAGTGATGCATTGGCATCGACAAAAGTTCATTTAGATGGAGGGCGTCGACTTGCTGTCAAAAGTATGGTTTAACACCTGACAAGCGCCATTGGATGCCTCCGGAGTTCCAAGTACAGCCTGGCCGGAGCGCGCTTGAAGAAACATGCAAGGTGTTCAGTCTTTACAAGACGGAAATGCTTGAAGCAAGTACGAACACCATATTCGGCGAGCGTGTCCGCCTTCAAAAGTACCGGGCTTACTTGCAGACGACGTACCAAGAGAACATCGCGAAGTGGATGAAACTTTGCGAGAAAGTACGCAATAAAAACATTGCACTTGAAGCGCCAATCCAGGAGGAGATCGACAGATTTGGAGAAGGTAACGCTTGTGCGACCTTAGCTGAGTTTGAGGCAGTTTACAAGGCTGGATTCATCGAGAAGGATAACGCATACGAGGCCAAGATGAAGGCAAAGGAAGACCAGCTGGCGAACGAGAGACGGTTTAGGAAGACATTTGGATCTGATTCGGATAGCGAAGATGCCTAAACACAATGTATAGGCCTATTGGAATATATGTCTCACTTTTAACAAGACCCAAAGTACTAGGACAAGACTCAAAATACTAGAAAAGACTAAAACTACTAGACAAGCATGTTACACCGACCATTGGCTACAGAACGCTGCCAGCTCACATCAATGTACTCACGATTGACACACTGGCCCGATACATTCGCCTCGACCGTAAACGTCGTCTAGTGAAGTCCAGGTCCTTCGAGATTAATGCAAGTATTGTTGGTCTTGTCGTAGTGTTTTCAGTCTTGTTTAGTATTTAATGTCTTGTCGTAGTACATAAGGTCTTGTTAGAAAACCTAGTATTTTTAGTCTTGTTACCTTATCTTCAAGTCCTCAGAAGCCTCCTAAAGATTATTACCGTCGTCCATAGTTTTATCAAATATCCTTGCAAAATTAATGCTAAAGTGGACGTTATGACTGGTTAATACTCTAAAGATACTGCGCGATTATTAGTCATGCAATCGGACTTTGCATACTTTGTTGTGGAAGTTGCTTCTGACTTAAGATGTATACAAAACCCAAGTGAACCGGAAGCAGCTTCAATTCCCTCACATTCACACGGGCAACGGCGGCCTGATCAGGGTTAGGGTAACTGTACAAAAGACAAGTATCTTCATCTAACCTAACCCTTCATTTTGCAAATGGAAGCGCTACTTCTCTGTCCCACCAATTTATAGGTAGTTGAGTTTTTCTATCATAATTTCGCCTGCACAAACAAGCCAAAGCCCAGCGTACCCGCGTTGTAAAGCCCGGAGGAGAGAGCTGTTTACAGTATTTTTTGCAATCTAATAACGGCTCTCAGCAAGTAAATAACAACACAAATGCAAGCACACATTTAAGAGAAATAAGGTTTTTTTTCGTGATTCTGTGGAAAATTAGCAATATTACAACAAAAAGTTACCACACGATTGCTCCAACTTGGCGACTCTACACAATAGCACACGCACCAGAAACATGCGGAACACTCAAATATGTGAGGTTTTATTGTCTGTTATGCTGATTTCGGTCAAATCACATGATAATTTTATCCAATCACCGAACTTCAAGGTTTAAGATACACAATTAAATAATAAATGCTCAGTTTTAAAAAGAGGCTCTATTGATTAAGAGTCTGAGACATCAGTGCCTTGTAGCCATTTTCTATAGTTGACACTGTCGTTGCAAGTGACGTTGGACCGAGACCAGTCGGACCGAGAGTCTAACGAACTCGAGGGAGCTTGAAATCATTGCCGCCGTCGTTAGTGATCATGCGCCGCGAAGACCCCAGATGGTCTCGATGGCAGCGCGGCTGAGCTTGAACAGCCTCTTGGCCCGCACGATGGTCCCGTAGCGGAGGTGGCCTTCCATACTTAAGGTGGTAAGGAAGACCGCCACCGCAACGCGTACTTTCGGCGAGATGTCCTTCGCGCCGACTGTCCTTGGCATCTTAACAGCAGGTTATGTTGGGCTCGAAACGTAGATTAAGCGCACACACCAACCGTTTTACGGTAGCCTGATGCTAGCCTTACCCCAAATAATTATATCCAATTATATCATTCTAACATATTTAAGTGGTACACAAAAAACCAAACTACCTATAAATTGGTGGGACAGAGAAGTACACCATTTCCCAGGCAAACTGGTTGGTTTCCCAACCAAAGTGGTGCGGGAAGGTCTCGCGCAACATAATACCGCGACGAAAAAGGGCTTTTTCAACCAAAGTGGTTTACAGCTGTTTGTTTCCCAAGCAAAATGGTTTGCCCAATCATATGGAGCTAAAACGGACCAGTCCACGTCTTGGACTTGGGCTGTAAGAATCAAAAGTTGCTATTTTTCGACGCAAAAACGCTTAGTTAGAATGCCCACGTAACGTAGATCACGATAGACCCCTCAAATACATTCACAAGGCTGTTCTAAGCTGCATTTTGACTTCTTCAAAATGGCTCTAAATCCTCGATGATTGTGAAACCACTTTGCTTGAAAACGATTTACGACAGAACCACTTTGCTTAAAAATACCTGGGAAAAGTGATATGAGATTTTTCTCGAAAAATGATTTGAACCACTTTGGTTGGGAAACCAACCAGTCTGCCTGGAAAATGGTGTACCAACTTTTGTATTTTGGCCGGACACCCCACCCTTCCTATAGGGGCATGGCCCAATCCGCAACGCGTACGCAAGGACTACAGTGAATTATACCCAATCACAGAGTATTAGGGGTAGGTTAAGTGTGTCCCAGCTTATTTCCGGAGTTGCTCGGAATCGCGAGGAATTATCTAATAAGAGAGTATACAAACATTTATATAAACTGCAACTTATCCGATAATAGCACTGCTTGTCAGAAAGATAGGCAATTTAAAGGTTCGATAGCTTGCGATGGTTTTTAAATAGATTATAACTGAGCTCGTGCTCATTCTCGATCTCCCGCAACAGCCACGATGCGGAGGGCATGACGCGGGCTTGACACTCCAGCTGGCACGATCAGCCAGGAGCTAGCTGCCGAGAAGCTTTTCGAGGAATTTCTTAACTCCATGAGCCTGACTAAGGCTTCGCTTGATGATATACATAGAGCGCATAGCGATGATGCTAGTCTACCTACTCAAAACGTTTATTCATTGCTAACGGCTTTTTCAATTTTCATACAGACTCGAAAAAGTAACAGAGCCCGTGCTGCCGACGGATTACTGGCGAAGGCAACAGCTCTTGGCTACTTCTCACAAGTCGTCAATCTCCTACGAGAGCGCTACACTACGTCGCTAACCGACTCCAAGAGGATCGTAAAAATCAGGGACAAGATGGCAAGTCCCATTGAGGAACGCAATCTTCGCGCCAACGTTCAAACGAATGACGCCCCAGGGTGTACAATTGATGATTTGTGTGGACTAGTGGAATTTCTCGTGACTCATGCCGATGTGACAACTGGCCTAAAGTCTGTGCATGATGCTGCGCTTTTGACAATGATGTGGCATAGATTTGGGTGGGCTATCGATACATGCTTCGCACGCAGGCAACAACTTTCAATTGCCGCCTCTGGAGAGCTTTTCCTGCATATCGCCCGGATTAAGACCTCGGTTGTACAGGGCATGTCAATTTATAAGTCACCCGAGCGCAGGCAGCAGTGCATGCTTCATGCGTTTGGCCTGTTGTTCATATGCTACGATGAGCCCTCTGAGCATCTCTTCCCCTTGGTCCCACGCTTTGCTGAGTCGGACCTTCCTGGAGGCCAGCCTTATTCTCAGGAAGAAGCCATCATGTACTGGGAAAGGCTGCAGAAAGAGGACGAAGGAGGCGCCGAACCCCCGCAGAAACGGGAGAGAAAGCGGCCAAACGTAGCAAGTTACATTACCGAGATCATTAGGGATACCTTGAAGGTGATGCCGCCTTCGGCGAGCCAACGTATTACTTCGGGGATGACCAGCCATTCTCTTCGCCGCGGTGCTGCTGCTTACGCGAACGCATCGCCAAAGCTGGCGATCCAGTGGATATCAACTTAAGGCGCGTGGCTGCTGGAATCTTTGACGAAAGCATTTGCCTACATTGGGACAACTTCAAAAGAAGATCAGAGTGTGGCTAAAGTCCTGGCAGGTTTCCAATCTCCAGACTTACTCGCGACAACGCCGTCTATTCATGACCTGTACCGGCGACTCTATGAAGCTGAGTATGGACAGCTCATGACACTGCGCGACGAGCGGTACCGCCATGTCCTTGGCTTTCCCGATCCTCGATTTAACATCGCGTTGGACGTGGTCGATGCGACGTTCGCCTCCCTCTTGATGCAGCTCGAGTCCGTTCTCGAAGCCACGGAGAGCGCTGGGTCTAACGTGCTTGTCACTCGCTATGTCTACGAGCTGAACCGGGGCATCACGGCTGTAAACTCACGCTTAGGCTCCTGTATAACAACGCGCACATGTTGTGAGTGGGGTAAGCATCTGCGAGATCACTGGCAAACTACGAACCACGCGCAGCTCGGTAACGCTGCTGCTGGCGGTGACTCGCTGCTGTCCTCGACGCTGGAGAACATGCTCACGCAATTAGTGAGCATCAACGAGCGGCTCGGCCGGCTTGAAGATGCGCACACGCGGCTGCCTCTTGGTTTTGTTGACGCTCCACCTCCTGTCACCAGCGCTTCATTCACTACTGCCGTCGAGCTCTCAGCTCCAGCGCCTGCAACAGCGTCGACGCTCGCGGGATCGCTGCTCAACTGGTATACTAACCACATCTGGGAAACAGTTAAGGGTAAGAAAGAGC